CGCCCCCTTATACCAGGTGTTTAAACCTCCCCTAAGTATTATAACATGAAAGGCGCCAATAAGGGCGGCAAAGCGATTATGCGCATCGCGTGCGCAGAATGATGCACTTGAAGCAACGCGAAGTCACAGCGTGCATCGCTTCGCATTGAAAGGTTCAAAGCACAAAGCGAAGAGATTATATCTGCTTAATGTATTATATCTATGCAACAGTTTATTAAGCCTTTTCTTTTAACAGTTTTAAATTTCAGTTAACTTACAGTGCGCATGAAGAACAATTCATAGTGCTCTCTACTCTAGTGCTGTAGTAACAGACACCCGGGAGAAGGGAATATGATTTAGAAAGTGCTATAAACTCCAGCAAGATAAAGTAATGTTATGCAAACTATAGACCTTTATCTACAAATATAGTATAAAGGGAACATTGATCTTGAAGAGAGTGTCGTCGTGTTACTATGTGTTACTGTCATAACCGAACGCGACGTGCTGTTTGAATGCTGAATGGAGAATGACTGAGGAGAGATGAGTTTCCATTAACTTTAACTTAACGACTTAAATATACATTTTTACCTCACATTATGCTATTGAATGACTTTAGAAGTCTTGGAATATAGTGTGAAAACGTTATGGTGCTTTACAATGTTTTGTATGCCTTTAGTGAGGCTTAACAATAACACAAACAATATCGGACCGAAAAGCTGCAGCCGTGGCGGGATGATTTTAGGTGTGGCGGCCCGCCACGGCAGAATGAATGTAGCGGAAACACTGAACCCAGTGTCTCGATCGCCCCCCGGTGGCTGGTCTCAGTATAGCTCATAAACCCAGAGTCTCGGTCGCCCCCCGGTGGCTGGTCCCAGTTTCGCTCATAAACCCAGAGTCTCGGTCGCCCCCCGGTGGCTGGTCCCAGTTTCGCTCATAAACCCAGAGTCTCGGTCGCCCCCCGGTGGCTGGTCCCAGTATAGCTCATAAACCCAGAGTCTCGGTCGCCCCCCGGTGGCTGGTCCCAGTATAGCTCATAAACCTAGAGTCTTGATCGCCCCCCCGGTGGCTGGTCCCAGTTTCGCTCATAAACCCAGAGTCTCGGTCGCCCCCCGGTTGCTGGTCCCAGTATAGCTCGTAAACCCAGAGTCTTGATCGCCCCCCCGGTGGCTGGTCCCAGTATAGGTGGCTGGTCCCAGTATAGCTCATAAACCCAGAGTCTCGATCGCCCCCCGGTGGCTGGTCCCAGTATAGCTCATAAACCCAGAGTCTCGATCCCCCCCCGGTGGCTGGTCCCAGTATAGCTCATAAACCCAGAGTCTCGATCGCCCCCCGGTGGCTGGTCCCAGTATAGCTCATAAACCCAGAGTCTCGATCCCCCCCCGGTGGCTGGTCCCAGTATAGCTCATAAACCCAGAGTCTCGATCGCCCCCCGGTGGCTGGTCCCAGTATAGCTCATAAACCCAGAGTCTCGATCCCCCCCCGGTGGCTGGTCCCAGTATAGCTCATAAACCCAGAGTCTCGGTCGCCCCCCGGTGGCTGGTCCCAGTTTCGCTCATAAACCCAGAGTCTCGGTCGCCCCCCGGTGGCTGGTCCCAGTTTCGCTCATAAACCCAGAGTCTCGGTCGCCCCCCGGTGGCTGGTCCCAGTATAGCTCATAAACCCAGAGTCTCGGTCGCCCCCCGGTGGCTGGTCCCAGTATAGCTCATAAACCTAGAGTCTTGATCGCCCCCCCGGTGGCTGGTCCCAGTTTCGCTCATAAACCCAGAGTCTCGGTCGCCCCCCGGTGGCTGGTCCCAGTATAGCTCGTAAACCCAGAGTCTTGATCGCCCCCCCGGTGGCTGGTCCCAGTATAGGTGGCTGGTCCCAGTATAGCTCATAAACCCAGAGTCTCGATCGCCCCCCGGTGGCTGGTCCCAGTATAGCTCATAAACCCAGAGTCTCGATCCCCCCCCGGTGGCTGGTCCCAGTATAGCTCATAAACCCAGAGTCTCGATCGCCCCCCGGTGGCTGGTCCCAGTATAGCTCATAAACCCAGAGTCTCGATCGCCCCCTGGTGGCTGGTCCCAGGATAGCTCATAAACGTGACGTCATGATTGACAGCTGTGATTGACAGCGAAGTAGTCACTGAGGCGCCAGTGGAGTTTTTGGGGGATTTTCAGGAGGAGATTGGAGCTTCAACTTTAATATTTCCATATATGTTTATTTCACTCCGACAAAATGAGTTGTTCAGCTGTAAACGGTGTTAACGGTTTCTGACAACGACAATGATGTACTAAAAAAAGGAACTTTTTTTCTTTGTGTTTTCCGTGTACAGACGACAACATTGTCAAAATGATCCCATTCACACGGATCTGTGAAAACGATTAAACATCACTGTATTCTGCTGCCAGGCCAGTAGATGGCGATGTTGTCACTTAGTAAAAAAACACTGCGCGCTTATAGACTGAACGAGTAACACGCATGACGCCAAATTCACGTTTTTGTAATTTTACACTGTGTCGATAACTGGATAAATCTTAAAAACTTGCACTTTGAAACCCATTTTCAAAAGTTTTTGTTTTCAGGCCCCCAAAACACTTGTTGTGTAAATGAACGACCAAAACACATAAAAAGATTTCAGTTCTTAGTTAAAAACAGTGCCATAACAAGAAAAAGTCTCTTCAGAAGACGTCTGGCTTGCTTGTCCTAATGGATTACATTAGGGCTACATGATATATATCGAAAGTTTTAGGTCTACGCATTTAGCAGAGAATAGACTGGGCAAGCGATGTGAAAGTTATTAAGCCCAATAAGCCGCCTCTCGGACAGTGGGTGATCCCTCTTTCGCAGCTTATTTGCTCTCAAGCGGTCAAACACACCAAAGGCTGTAGAATAATACAAGTCACGCGTCACTCATATGGTTTTGAATAAGGAAAGTGCAACGCTCAATATGGCGGAATAAGTCCCGCCTCTTAAATAAGAGCCATTTGTTGTCAAGATTTCATTGGTGATTTCAAACATTAAATTTAATCGAACAGTTTTGTAGATTTTGATGTTTCCCCATTCAAAAAGATGCGCTTGAATGCCCGATAGGCGTTTCAAAGATGGCCGCCGGGTGAAATGACTTGTCTTGAAGGTACTTTGAAACACACAGTTGTGTCTTGGCGAGCATTCGTGTAAACAGTCGTTTATGTCTTCAGTGAATGTAATCAGTTGGGAAAGAAATCGGATGCGTGTCAACAGGACCCGTGCATTAGGTCTTAAAGTGACAGCAGCCTAAAACAGTAAACCTGCTGCTGTCAGTCACACAACTAGAGAAAGAGAGGAAATCCCTCAATGCTCTTCACTGAATGACTTTCGCAGCTGTATTATGAATCACTGTATATTTAACTCAAGTGAAGACTATGGAGAGTTTTATTTTTACATTTGCTTATTCAGTTTCTGTATTGATTCTTGTTAGAATGCTACGGTTAAATCTAATGTACATGAAAACTTAAAGCTGTTTACTTAACTTTTATTTGCCTCTTTGTTCTTAATTTATTTTAATTTATCTTTGTTATTAAAAATAACTAATTGTCCACCCCTAGTTTCAGGTGCTTTTGTTTACCTGGATGTTCTCAAGTTTTCAGGTTGATATAACTATTCATTACCAAGTTGAGCAAAAGTTTTTTTTTTTTTACATTGATGTTAAAATGCCATTGTCAGATTTGTGACATTACTATTTATGTAATGCTGAAACACTGCTGTTCACTTTCAGAAGTTATAGTATTTTCTCAGAAAGAATGAGAAACATTTTTCTTTGTCATTTTTTAATTTAAATTGATTTTACACACTTAAAGCAATATCATATCGCATATAGAATATCACATTATTTAACAAGTTATCGCACATCACATTTTCTCCTTGATTACATTAACACTTAATGTCTTTATGATTTTTTTTTCAAGTTTTGCTGTAATTAACTTTCAGTTGCGGAACAGGAACCTCAAGTACATCTAATTACAAATATCTTCCTTGTTTTTCTTGTGACGACGAAGAAAACTCTTATGGGTTTGGAATGACAAAGTACATTCTTGGGTGAAATATCCCTTTAAAAAAAACAACACATGAAGTAAAACAGGAAGTGAATGGAATTTCATGTTGTACTGAAAAAGGAACGTGACAATTATAAACTTGATTTGAAATTTATACTGACAGGTTTCAAAAAACTGAATAGCTCGTACATAGTCGGAATTCTTCCGGACCAAAGTCGGAAGAGACAATCGTCCAAATCTACCATCTGAGTTCGACATCACAGCCGGTTACATCCTGGTGAAAAGGCACATTTAGCATAGGAATGTCTAAAGGAGTAGTTCACTTCAGAATTAAAATTTCCTGATCATTTACTCTCCCCCACGTCATCCAAGATATTCACGTCTGTCTTTCTTCAGTCGAAAAGAAATTAAGGAAAACATTCCAGGATGTTTCTTCATATAGTGACTTCAATGGGGTCCAACGGGTCAAAGGTTCAAAGTCTCGACACGATCCAGCCGAGGAATAAGAGTCTTATCGACAAACCAGCGGACATTTTATAAACAAAATAAACATTTATATACTTTTAACCACAAATGCTGGTCTTGCACTCGCTGTGATGCGAGACACATTACGTTGAAAGGTCAAGCGGGACGTAGGTGTAAGAACAGACCTATTGTTTACAACGACTAAGTCAAATGCCATTTACAAATGAAATTAATAAACAAAAAGGTAAAACAATGAGCATTTGTGGTTAAAAAGTATATAAATGTTTATTTTGTTTATAAAATGTCCGCTGGTTTGTCTAGATCAGACTCTTATTCGTCGGCTGGATCGTGTCGAGACTTTGAAGCTGCACTGAAACTCACATCTGGACCTTCGACCCGTTGGACCCCATTGAAGTCACTATATGGAGAAACATCCTGGAATGTTTTCCTTAATTTCTTTTCGACTAAAGACAGACGTGAACAATCTTGTATGGCGCAAAATATCAGGAAACTTTAATTCTGAAGTGAACAGTGCGTTGTTAATTAACGGTGGTAATCCCACAGGTGCTCGAACGCCGCTACGCCCCGCGGCGCAGATGTGGGTAGCTCTCCACGGTGCGCGCGATGGCCTCCTGCAGGCTTACCGCGGGCCGGTAACCCATGTCCTGCTTGGCCCGAGCGCAGCTGTAGTAGTGGTGTGTGCCGGCCAGAGCGACTCGCATCGGGGTGAAGGTGGGCTTGATCTGGATGAGCGGGCGCAGCACTAACACCATCAGCCACAGAAGCAGAGATAGCACGTACACCAGTGTGTAGGGCAGGTGGAGCCGAGGAGCGCTGTAGCCCAGACCCACCAGAACCTGCGACAGGAAGTCCCAGAAGCGCACCGGCTCGTCATTCGTTATGTGGTAAGCCTGTTAGTGCGAGAACATTTAAATTGGATGAGGTACAGTTTAAGTTGAAAAAAATGCCTTTGTGGAAATCCAGCTTTTAAATGTTGTTTATGTGTCTATGTGGTGTTTTTAATATGCTTTAAGACAAACCATGTGTAAGTTCATAAGTCGACAGCATTGCTGAGTATTTTCTCCGTAAAACTGCAGTGAACCAAAGACAGTCCAGTGTTTCCTCTAGGATTTTTTCGAGCCGTGGTGGCAGGACCATTTCGCATGGGGGAGGGGGCGTGGCCCATGAGTGATATTCCCATTGGCCACGCCCCCTTATCCCAGGTGTTCAAACCTCCCCTAAGCATTTTTAACATGAAAGGCAAGCAGGGGTGGGGTTAGGGATCAGGGGCGGAGATGGGTAGGTTTAGGGATATGTAAGGTGGGAGGAGGAGTTAGATCCAGATCTAAGGGGTGGGGTTATGGATCAGGGGGTGGGGTTATGGATCAGGGGGTGGGGTTATGGATCAGGGGGCGGAGATGGGTAGGTTTAGGGATATGTAAGGTGGGAGGAGTTAGATCCAGATCTAAGGGGTGGGGTTATGGATCAGGGGGTGGGGTTATGGATCAGGGGGCGGAGATGGGTAGGTTTAGGGATATGTAAGGTGGGAGGAGTTAGATCCAGATCTAAGGGGTGGGGTTATGGATCAGGGGGTGGGGTTATGGATCAGGGGGCGGAGATGGGTAGGTTTAGGGATATGTAAGGTGGGAGGAGTTAGATCCAGATCTAAGGGGTGGGGTTATGATCAGGGGGTGGGGTTAGGGATCAGGGGGCGGAGATGGGTAGGTTTAGGGATATGTAAGGTGGGAGGAGTTGGATCTGGATCTAACTCCTCCCCCTGGATTTCGTGTTGGGCTATGAGGACCATCTCGGATTTTCACCACTGGGGGACTTTAAATTTGAAACCCAGTTAACGGTGATGGATTGTCCATTCGTTGCGCTCACAGGTTTGCTATAACTTTTTACCAGTAGTGGAAGAATTTAATATTTGCCAAACGTTTACACAAGAGCTGTTTGCTAGTAGTGCCATTAGCCAACAAGTTCACCAAGAATAAAAAGCTTTTGTGAGGTTCTCAGACACTTTTTTCAAGACATTTTATGTGAGCAATACCTGTAATATTAAAGCAATTTCACACAGAGGAAGTTCTGCTATGTCATGTTTCTGGCAAGGCAGCATTTTTTCAAAATGCTCAACTAACCATTACTTAATGGGTTTTGCTACAACTACAACTTACATGGCCTCTCTCATGATAAGTAAACAGCTCATTAGTTACAAAAGGTAAAAGCATTTATGATAATATAACATGCTACTAGTAGTTCATTAGCCAGCTAATGAGGGTTACTGCAAGATTCAGATCATACACACTTAAGCCCTATTCGGACGGGATTAGCTTTACAAGGGTCGATGGAGTAATGTCATTTTACCACAGGACGTCTGTAATATTAATGGCCAATTCGCAAGGGATAAGAGATCTCAGTAAAACTAGTGGAAGTGGAAGGGCTAACTTGATTTGCGCTCCCTAATATCACATGTACAAACACATATAACCTATATTTATATATATAAAACAGCTATGGTCCATCCGAACGATTTATTAATTAACTTCTGATTGGATTGTGTTGGTAATAGGCACTTATCTAACGCTAAAAGTAGTGTCGTTCCTCTAACAAGTGCTTTCGATCTTCTTTCTGCTCTGAATGGTGTGTAAAACACTAGAGTTTTGCCACAGACTCGTCCCAGCGTCTAGAACACAACTGAGGCTTCATCAAGCGCCTCCATACTTTAAAAACAGCGGAAAACTGCTTTTTAACAGGAAATGACGGAATATTTACGAACATATTTACAGCGGGTCTATTCACACGGGATTAGCATTACCCGAGGTCATCTTTCAGACCTTTGTACTGAAGGTAAAAGTCGCTGTAATCTTTACTGTAATCTGGCGTTGTCCGTAATGATGACTGAGATGCACATTCAGACGGGACTAAAATCTCTGAGAAGCTCTGGTGATAATGACTTTACCCCTCCTTTAACATGCTAAACTAGTCCCGTCCGAATAGGGCTTTAGTGGTTAAAGACAGCTAATCAAAACAGATCGCTGTCCCAAGCTCCTATTGACCGTATCTCACAAAAACAAAGATTGGCATCACACTAAAAATAAAAAACACACCATGTTTGTTTTTTTCAGAGCATCTAGGAAATTCTCATTTTCCATGACTGGACAATCTCATGACAAAACTCAAGGTCTCTCAGGATGTGCTAACAATCTGCATTTAAAAGGTTTATTGACCATCGCTGCACTTAATGAATGACTGAAACCCCTATGAGAGTTTGTTTTATCACTGCATTTCCCTGGAAATGATAGCCAAAACTTTATGCATCAGTAATGCGGGATGTTTACACAGAAAACACACACACACGCACGCGTGGGACTTGATCTAAGAGAACGCATCTAGAAACACTCCTTCGGCGTCGCGTTCACATACCTGAGCGCAGAGCGGAGAGTCAGCCTTGAGGTGTTCAGCGGCCAAGATATGCCCATGAACCACATTCTCCACATAGGTGAAGTCCACAAGATTGGATCCGTCTCTGCATCATAGAAAGAGCAAATCAGAGTCAGACAGCACTGGTTTATCACATGATGTCCATCACATCAACATGATCAAATAAAATAAAAAACTCAATGTACATTCCTTCTGATGTTTATTCATGTTCATTTCAAGCTGTAAAGCGGAAGATATGAACGGTTCACGTGTACTTCGCCTTAACTGAGTCGCTACAGTGATCTGTCACGCCACATTACATTTATTTTAACATTAGATTTATTTTAATGTGACCTATTATGCAAAATTCACTTTTACATGGTATTTGAACATAAATGTGCAAATGTACACAAACACCCTAACTAAACCATCCCCATAAATCATAAGCAGCAGTCTCAGAATGTCACATAGCATAGAGCAGAGCCCACGCCCACGACTGCTGACGGACTCCGCCCTATTAGCATAGACCCGCCCACAACTGCTGACGGACTCCGCCCCATTAGCATAGACCCACCCACGTCTGCTGACAGACTCCGTCCTATTAGCATAGACCCGCCCACGACTGCTGACGGACTCCGTCCTATTAGCATAGACCCGCCCATGTCTGCTTACGGACTCCGTCCTATTAGCATAGACCCGCCCACGACTGCTGACGGACTCCGCCCCATTAGCATAGACCCACCCACGACTGCTGACGGACTCCGCCCCATTAGCATAGACCCGCCCACGACTGCTGACGGACTCCGTCCCATTAGCATAGACCCGCCCACGACTGCTGACGGACTCTGCTCCATTAGCATAGACCCGCCCACATCTGCTGACGGACTCCATCCTATTAGCATAGACCCGCCCACGACTCCTGACGGACTCCGCATATTAGCATAGACCCGCCCACGACTGCTGACGGCCTCGCCCCATTATCATAGACCCGCCCACGTCTGCTGACGGACTCCGTCCTATTAGCATAGACCCGCCCACGACTGCTGACGGACTCCGCCCTATTAGCATAGACCCGCCCACGACTGCTTACGGACTCCGCCCTATTAGCATAGACCCGCCCACGACTGCTGACGGACTCCGCCCTATTAGCATAGACCCACCCACGACTGCTGACGGACTCCGCCCTATTAGCATAGACCCACCCACGACTGCTGACGGACTCCGCCCTATTAGCATAGACCCACCCACGACTGCTGACGGACTCTGCATATTAGCGTAGACCCGCCCACGACTGCTGACGGACTCTGCATATTAGCGTAGACCCGCCCACGACTGCTGACGGACTCCGCCATATTAGCATAGACCCTCCCACGACTGCTGACGGACTCCGCCATATTAGCATAGACCCGCCCACGACTGCTGACGGACTCCGCCCTATTAGCATAGACCCACCCACGACTGCTGACAGACTCCGCCCTATTAGCATAGACCCGCCCACGACTCCGCCATATTAGCATAGACCCACCCACGACTGCTGACAGACTCCGCCCTATTAGCATAGACCCGCCCACGACTCCTGACGGACTCCGCCATATTAGCATAGACCCGCCCATGACTGCTGACGGACTCCGCCCTATTAGCATAGACCCGCCCACGACTCCTGACGGACTCCGCCCTATTAGCATAGACCCGCCCACGACTGCTGACGGAGTTAGCATGGGGTGTTATGCCCCCTGTATTTTAAGGAAGAACATTAATTTACGATACATTATTCATTCACAAAGAAAACTGTTGTCCTTAAGGCCGTGTGTCCACCAAAGCGTTTTTAGCCAGCCGAAAACGCTAGACGCTCTGCTGAAAACGCCTAGCTTTGGGCGCATGAGAGCGTTTTGGCAGCGCAGTGTTTTTCCCGTTGAGACATTTCGTTGCTATGATACAGAATATCCGCAGCACAGTTTACTTAACAGATTTCGCAGATAATTTGTTTCATACTAAATGTATTTTTCATCCATGTTGTTCGGTTAGCTCTGCTGGTGGATGTTGTACAGAAAGAATGTTGTGACAGTTGGTCGGTGTGGTATTAGTCCCGCCCCTCCTCCACTGTGATTGGACGGCTGGGTTAAAAGTGACAGTGATGAGCGCTGCGTTTTATCCAAAGTTGAACACTTTTCAACTCTCGGCGACCAGTAAAAACGACGGGCGCTCGGCGCTTCAGCGTGAAAAAAACCGCTCAGTGCCTCGTTACGCTCGTGGCGTTTAAAAAAACACGGCGCTCCCATTGAAAACAAACGCCAGGCGCGTGGAAAAACACTTTGGTGGACACACGGCCTTAAGGTTGTTTTTTCCCTCATTTTTTAAATTAAGGCATTAAGAACAATTTCCAATTGATGATTTTTTATTCCTCTTTTTAGTCAACTTTAGCATGGCTGTGTTTACCTATTTACTCCTCCATTTGTCCTGTCGTCGACAGACTCGAGCGAGGGGAGACCGTCAGGAACTGAACACACATCTGTGTACGGTCTCAGTCATTTTAACAACAATAATATAATAAACTTTATTTTACATAGCGCCTTTAAAAGTTGTATCTCAAAGTGCTTAATGGCTTCGGTTGGCTTTTGACTAGTGTAAATATCAGCCGTTAAGTGCCTGAACACCAGTGGGCGGGGCCTATGGTGTGACGACTCATACCTATTCGCCAAGGTCTAGCTCTAGAGGCGGGCATATGCAAATGTATTTGCCCGTGTGACATCACAGATCCCACAATATCCAAACGAGCCAATTTTTGAAGCTTTATTAAATAAATGCTTTGATCATGAGGATGATTTAAGCTATGAAATTTGCAGAATTTAATGATACAAAAACCTCTTAGAGCTAAAAGATCAAGGAGAGTTTGATTTCTCATGTCATGACCCCTTTAAGGATCGATATCAGTTCTTCAAAATGCCCTACAAAAGTGTAAACTCTACCTCGAGTCAACTGGACAGTTCACCAACAGCATCATCAATGGGTGATTCAGGGTGCTTTTAAATATTCCTATTTAGATTAAACATTTCTACACATTTCAGATATATTTCTAAGTAACAGGTGTACACTTTAGCTGCTTAAATTAGCCACCAGCTCTCTAGCTATAGGTATGATTGAAAATAAAGCAATTGGTAGCCATTGAAAAACCCAGAAACTCGTCTATCTCGATCACGATATGTGGTCACAGTGAGCAATAGGCCAAAGAGAGGAATAAGAATATGTATTTTTTCGTTGTTGTCTGTTTAGTTCCCCAAAACACTACCTCCTACAGCGATTGCTCCGGGCTGTAACACAGGCTGTCTGAGGAACCCAACGGTGCAGTGTGCGCCAATTACCTCACGGACTGAACGAAATGTGCTTGCTTTGCAATATCATTGAGTAATTTAACACATCTAGTGGGAACTGGTTCAGTAGAGATGCTCTTTGGTCTAATTTTGTTGATTTCTTGCTCTGAAAACGATATTCTTTATCGTTATGTTCCTACTGCTATGTTTACTTAGCCTGGCTAACGTCAAACAGAGAACACGAGAAAATGAATATTACCACATGTTCATTTTCTCGTGTTTGAGGCGTGTTTTACGAATGTCCAGAGCAGTTTATTGGGTGCTACGAATGTCTATCAAATGCCCCTGTACATAGCTCTTAGCCAAGCGTTTCAATTAGACCAGATGACGTATGTAGAGTGACAGAAATTAGACGAGGAAGACGACGATGGGTAAGAGATTTATGTGTAACCCAGGGCTTAAAGTATTCCGGCACCGTGCCGGATCTCCGGCGTGCGGCCGTGAGGAAAAAATGATTATTTCCACATGCGATTCATTTTTGTCCAGCTTTAACGTGTTAAAATATTTAAGCAATTAACGCAGCATCCGTTCTTTCTGTCATCCTTTAGCAAGGGTTATGATCACGCTCTTATTCACGCAAATGCTTTAAACCACTCATGCGCGACAAGACAAAAGAGAACGCGCATACACACACACACACACTAGTATCGAGTTCTCTTTTGCGCTTGAACGAACACACACATTTATGCCAAAATGTCAGTTTTGTCGAGTTTCCTCACAAGAACAGTCTTAAATTAGTTAAATACAATCTTAAATGGAAGTAAATAGTGAGAGAATGAGATGCGTGAGATCCTGTCAGCAGCGGCAGATCTTAAAGTGACAGGAGCCTCTAATTCTCTCTGTCAGTAAAGTTAACCTAAAGAACAGAGGGGACAGACAAAATTACTCACTGCTCTTGACTAAAGAACGCTTGTAGCTTTGATAAGGATTAATCTATATTTCATTTAAAATGTATGCAGTGCGGACTGTTTTATAACCTTATTCAATTTCTGTATGGTCCAGGTAAATGACATTTATTATGGGTTTAAGTGAGGATTGTTTTAAGTTCACTTAAATTAAAGGTTTTTATATTTTTTGAAGCCTAATTTGGGGGAAAATCATTTTCATCGAGACATCAGTAGCTATAATATGAGTGATACTGGCTTTCAGTTATAAAAAGATGGCATTAAGATAGATACAGCTGTAATACTTGAAAATAAATGGTGCCATTGAAGATAAGTTCATCCCCCCTCCCAAAAAAAAGGTTCAGGCTCAGGAATTTTTTTCACTTTAACCCCTGGTAACCGATGGCGTATGTATCTAAGGCTGCATGGAAAGGTAACTTCGCGTCTGCTGCCATGTTGGATCCATAAGTATACACAAACTGCTTCGGTGAGGCGAAAATCACCGAAGCGGAGGCGAAAATCTGGTCCATGGTATCCAGACTGCCTAGCAGCGTGAATAAAATCCCGCTGCGTAAAGGCGGTATGGGGAAACCCAGGCTAATGTTTACTAGGGCTGGGTAAAAATTATAGATTTCTCAATTTTAATCGATTCTCATTTTTACGAACCGATATCGAGTCTTAAACCCCAAGAATCGATTAGGCTAATCATCCTGTTTCCAGTTGATGAATGGATGGGATGAGCGCTACGATGCTCCATTCAATGAATCACAATCTTTGTGCTTTGTTACTATTGATATGAAACACAGTCTCAGATTTCAAATTACGTCCATTTTCTTATGAAATTCAAAAACATAAACCGTTTTGGCGCTGTGGCGTGAGATCGCTCTGGCACCGCTCGAGAGAAGCACATGATCTCCTCTTCCGCCTTAATAATACCAGTTACAGCGCCAAATAAACATGAATGAGCGTCTGAAAGTGTGTTAAAAGATAGAGTACAACTTATCGAAATCCATATCATGTCACATGGAAATAATATATCAATATATCAACCGTGGAAAGACGTCAGTAAAACAGCGTCATGTAACGTCACATTTACCTCAGAAAAACCATATCCAGTGCCCATAAACTCGTATAATTTTTAATGATCTTCAATATTTAATGCATGTTTGAATAAATCTGGCAAGTTTTTATAACAGCCACCATTTAAATGTTTATATTTCATATAATTATTATTATATATAAAAAAAAAAAAGTGTTTGTATACAAATCAGTCAACTTTTACCTTCAATATTATAGTCGGCTAATAAAGCCTGTTAGGCTTGCTGACTCCCATAGTTCACAGCATTAGTTAAGAGATTTGTTTTCCTTGAGAACATTTGCCATGTGTTGGACCTGATATCCAAAATAATCAATATTGAATCGAAATCGAATTGTGAAATTTCTGTCAATACCCAGCCCTAATGTTTACTAATATAACATGTCATGTCATGTCGAATGCTGACAGACAGGATCATATTCGAGGTGTGATTCTGCCACCCAGTGGACTAACCCGCTCTGCTGCCGAGACCTTATAGGAGCCTCTCTTTTCTGTGGCCTTTGGATCAATGTAGTTTTATTGCAGTTTTTACAATCATTAGGACACATTTCTCAATAGTTAGGTCACTTTTTATACTGATATTTGTAATGTTCTTTGTGTTTGGTGATCAAATGAAACTCTGCATACACGTTCCCTTCAGACATGACCACACACACACACACACACACACACACACACACGTTCAAGTGCTGTGAAACACATTCTTGTCTAGTGAAAGCCTAACATCTTCACTCATTTATCAAGTTAACTTAATCAAGTCTTTCAGCCAAACATCCCCTCTCTCACCCGATGATGAACTTCATCTTTCCCCTGCGGGCCGAATCCACCAGGATGGGCACTAACTGAGGGTCCCGGGGCCCGAAGATGCCATGAGGACGGATGGCGACGGTGAGGAAACCCTTCTCTTTACTGCAGGCCTCCAACACCAGCTGGACACAGAGGACACGGAGCATGAGGATCCAGCACAGCAGTCAAAGTAAAGAGATCATTTCAGAGGAGAGCTGAAGATCAATACTATGGAAGCTAGTTTCCGCCACAGAATAAAACACTTAAAAAAATAATTGCGACATTTTATTGACTATTTCTCAGAATGGCGAGATATAAACTCACAAGTGCGTGTTAAAAAGTCCAATTCTAAAGAATTTTTTTTTTTTCTCAGAATTGTGAGTTTATAAGCAATTCGGACTATATAACAAGCGATTCTGACTTTATAACAAGCGATTCTGACTATATAACAAGCGATTCTGACTTTATAACAAGCGATTCTGACTTTATAACAAGCGATTCTGACTTTATAACAAGCGATTCTGACTTTATAACAAGCGATTCCGACTTTATAACAAGCGATTCCGACTTTATAACAAGCGATTCTGACTTTATAACAAGCGATTCTGACTTTATAACAAGCGATTCTGACTATATAACAAGCAATTCTGACTTTATAACAAGCGATTCTGACTATATAACAAGCGATTCTGACTTTATAACAAGCGATTCGGACTATATAACAAGCGATTCTGACTTTATAACAAGCGATTCTGACTTTATAACAAGCGATTCTGACTTTATAACAAGCGATTCTGACTTTATAACAAGCGATTCTGACTATATAACAAGCGATTCTGACTTTATAACAAGCGATTCTGACTTTATAACAAGCAATTCTGACTATATAACAAGCGATTCTGACTATATAACAAGCGATTCTGACTTTATAACAAGCGATTCGGACTATATAACAAGCGATTCTGACTTTATAACAAGCGATTCTGACTTTATAACAAGCGATTCTGACTTTATAACAAGCGATTCTGACTTTATAACAAGCGATTCGGACTATATAACAAGCGATTCCGACTTTATAACAAGCGATTCTGACTTTATAACAAGCGATTCTGACTTTATAACAAGCGATTCGGACTATATAACAAGCGATTCTGACTTTATAACAAGCGATTCGGACTATATAACAAGCGATTCGGACTATATAACAAGCGATTCTGACTATATAACAAGCAATTCTGACTTTATAACAAGCGATTCTGACTTTATAACAAGCGATTCTGACTTTATAACAAGCGATTCTGACTTTATAACAAGCGATTCGGACTTTATAACAAGCGATTCCGACTTTATAACAAGCGATTCCGACTTTATAACAAGCGATTCGGACTTTATAACAAGCGATTCTGACTTTATAACAAGCAATTCTGACTTTATAACAAGCGATTCGGACTATATAACAAGCGATTCGGACTTTATAACAAGCGATTCGGACTTTATAACAAGCGATTCGGACTTTATAACAAGCGATTCTGACTTTATAACAAGCGATTCGGACTATATAACAAGCGATTCCGACTTTATAACAAGCGATTCGGACTTTATAACAAGCGATTCTGACTTTATAACAAGCGATTCTGACTATATAACAAGCGATTCTGACTTTATAACAAGCGATTCGGACTTTATAACAAGCGATTCGGACTTTATAACAAGCGATTCTGACTTTATAACAAGCGATTCTGACTATATAACAAGCGATTCGGACTATATAACAAGCGATTCCGACTTTATAACAAGCGATTCGGACTTTATAACAAGCGATTCCGACTTTATAACAAGCGATTCTGACTTTATAACAAGCGATTCTGACTTTATAACAAGCGATTCTGACTTTATAACAAGCGATTCTGACTATATAACAAGCGATTCTGACTTTATAACAAGCGATTCGGACTATATAACAAGCGATTCGGACTTTATAACAAGCGATTCGGACTATATAACAAGCGATTCCGACTTTATAACAAGCGATTCTGACTATATAACAAGCGATTCGGACTTTATAACAAGCGATTCGGACTATATAACAAGCGATTCCGACTTTATAACAAGCGATTCTGACTTTATAACAAGCGATTCTGACTTTATAACAAGCGATTCGGACTATATAACAAGCGATTCGGACTTTATAACAAGCGATTCTGACTTTATAACAAGCGATTCGGACTTTATAACAAGCGATTCTGACTTTATAACAAGCGATTCTGACTTTATAACAAGCGATTCTGACTTTATAACAAGCGATTCTGACTTTATAACAAGCGATTCCGACTTTATAACAAGCGATTCTGACTTTATAACAAGCGATTCTGACTTTATAACAAGCGATTCGGACTATATAACAAGCGATTCTGACTTTATAACAAGCGATTCCGACTTTATAACAAGCGATTCGGACTATATAACAAGCGATTCTGACTTTATAACAAGCAATTCTGACTTTATAACAAGCGATTCTGACTTTATAACAAGCGATTCTGACTTTATAACAAGCGATTCTGACTTTATAACAAGCGATTCTGACTTTATAACAAGCGATTCTGACTTTATAACAAGCGATTCTGACTTTATAACAAGCGATTCCGACTTTATAACAAGCGATTCCGACTTTATAACAAGCGATTCGGACTTTATAACAAGCGATTCGGACTTTATAACAAGCGATTCTGACTTTATAACAAGCGATTCGGACTATATAACAAGCGATTCGGACTTTATAACAAGCGATTCGGACTTTATAACAAGCGATTCGGACTTTATAACAAGCGATTCTGACTTTATAACAAGCGATTCGGACTATATAACAAGCGATTCCGACTTTATAACAAGCGATTCGGACTTTATAACAAGCGATTCTGACTTTATAACAAGCGATTCTGACTATATAACAAGCGATTCGGACTTTATAACAAGCGATTCGGACTTTATAACAAGCGATTCGGACTTTATAACAAGCGATTCTGACTTTATAACAAGCGATTCTGACTATATAACAAGCGATTCGGACTATATAACAAGCGATTCCGACTTTATAACAAGCGATTCGGACTTTATAACAAGCGATTCTGACTTTATAACAAGCGATTCTGACTATATAACAAGCGATTCGGACTATATAACAAGCGATTCCGACTTTATAACAAGCGATTCTGACTATATAACAAGCGATTCGGACTTTATAACAAGCGATTCGGACTATATAACAAGCGATTCCGACTTTATAACAAGCGATTCTGACTTTATAACAAGCGATTCTGACTTTATAACAAGCGATTCGGACTATATAACAAGCGATTCGGACTTTATAACAAGCGATTCGGACACAAGCGATTCTGACTTTATAACAAGCGATTCTGACTTTATAACAAGCGATTCTGACTTTATAACAAGCGATTCGGACTATATAACAAGCGATTCCGACTTTATAACAAGCGATTCTGACTTTATAACAAGCGATTCTGACTTTATAACAAGCGATTCCGACTTTATAACAAGCGATTCTGACTTTATAACAAGCGATTCTGACTTTATAACAAGCGATTCGGACTATATAACAAGCGATTCTGACTTTATAACAAGCGATTCTGACTTTATAACAAGCGATTCGGACTTTATAACAAGCGATTCTGACTTTATAACAAGCGATTCTGACTTTATAACAAGCGATTCGGACTATATAACAAGCAATTCTGACTTTATAACAAGCGATTCGGACTTTATAACAAGCGATTCGGACTTTATAACAAGCGATTCTGACTTTATAACAAGCGATTCTGACTTTATAACAAGCGATTCTGACTTTATAACAAGCGATTCTGACTTTATAACAAGCGATTCTGACTATATAACAAGCGATTCTGACTTTATAACAAGCGATTCGGACTATATAACAAGCGATTCCGACTTTATAACAAGCGATTCTGACTTTATAACAAGCGATTCTGACTTTATAACAAGCGATTCGGACTATATAACAAGCGATTCCGACTTTATAACAAGCGATTCTGACTTTATAACAAGCGATTCTGACTTTATAACAAGCGATTCTGACTTTATAACAAGCGATTCTGACTTTATAACAAGCGATTCGGACTATATAACAAGCAATTCTGACTTTATAACAAGCGATTCGGACTATATAACAAGCGATTCTGACTTTATAACAAGCGATTCTGACTTTATAACAAGCGATTCGGACTATATAACAAGCGATTCTGACTTTATAACAAGCGATTCTGACTTTATAACAAGCGATTCGGACTATATAACAAGCGATTCGGACTTTATAACAAGCGATTCTGACTTTATAACAAGCGATTCGGACTATATAACAAGCGATTCGGACTTTATAACAAGCGATTCGGACTTTATAACAAGCGATTCCGACTTTATAACAAGCGATTCCGACTTTATAACAAGCGATTCCGACTTTATAACAAGCGATTCTGACTTTATAACAAGCGATTCCTACTATATAACAAGCGATTCCGACTTTATAACAAGCGATTCGGACTATATAACAAGCGATTCTGACTTTATAACAAGCGATTCTGACTTTATAACAAGCGATTCTGACTTTATAACAAGCGATTCGGACTATATAACAAGCGATTCTGACTTTATAACAAGCGATTCTGACTTTATAACAAGCGATTCTGACTTTATAACAAGCGATTCTGACTTTATAACAAGCGATTCTGACTTTATAACAAGCGATTCTGACTTTATAACAAGCGATTCTGACTTTATAACAAGCGATTCGGACTTTATAACAAGCGATTCGGACTATATAACAAGCGATTCTGACTTTATAACAAGCGATTCTGACTTTATAACAAGCGATTCTGACTTTATAACAAGCGATTCGGACTATATAACAAGCGATTCTGACTTTATAACAAGCGATTCTGACTTTATAACAAGCGATTCGGACTATATAACAAGCGATTCGGACTTTATAACAAGCGATTCGGACTATATAACAAGCGATTCGGACTTTATAACAAGCGATTCGGACTTTATAACAAGCGATTCCGACTTTATAACAAGCGATTCCGACTTTATAACAAGCGATTCCGACTTTATAACAAGCGATTCTGACTTTATAACAAGCGATTCTGACTTTATAACAAGCGATTCTGACTTTATAACAAGCGATTCTGACTTTATAACAAGCGATTCTGACTTTATAACAAGCGATTCTGACTTTATAACAAGCGATTCTGACTTTATAACAAGCGATTCTGACTTTATAACAAGCGATTCCGACTTTATAACAAGCGATTCTGACTATATAACAAGCGATTCTGACTTTATAACAAGCGATTCGGACTTTATAACAAGCGATTCTGACTTTATAACAAGCGATTCTGACTTTATAACAAGCGATTCTGACTATATAACAAGCGATTCCGACTTTATAACAAGCGATTCGGACTATATAACAAGCGATTCTGACTTTATAACAAGCGATTCGGACTTTATAACAAGCGATTCTGACTTTATAACAAGCGATTCTGACTTTATAACAAGCGATTCGGACTATATAACAAGCGATTCTGACTTTAGAACAAGCGATTCTGACTTTATAACAAGCGATTCTGACTTTATAACAAGCGATTCTGACTTTATAACAAGCGATTCTGACTTTATAACAAGCGATTCTGACTTTATAACAAGCGATTCTGACTTTATAACAAGCTATTCTGACTTTATAACAAGCGATTCGGACTTTATAACAAGCGATTCGGACTTTATAACAAGCGATTCCGACTATATAACAAGCGATTCGGACTTTATAACAAGCGATTCGGACTATATAACAAGCGATTCGGACTTTATAACAAGCGATTCGGACTTTATAACAAGCGATTCCGACTATATAACAAGCGATTCGGACTTTATAACAAGCGATTCGGACTATATAACAAGCGATTCTGACTATATAACAAGCGATTCTGACTATATAACAAGCGATTCTGACTTTATAACAAGCGATTCCGACTTTATAACAAGCGATTCGGACTTTATAACAAGCGATTCCGACTTTATAACAAGCGATTCCGACTTTATAACAAGCGATTCCGACTTTATAACAAGCGATTCCGACTTTATAACAAGCGATTCTGACTTTATAACAAGCGATTCTGACTTTATAACAAGCAATTCTGACTTTATAACAAGCAATTCTAACTGTATATCTCCCAATTGCATGTTATAAATTTGCAATTCTGAGAAAAAAAAAGTCAGAATTGCGAGTTAATATCTCACAATTCATTCACAATTCGGACTTTATCATGCAGTCTAAGATAAAAAGTTAGAATTGTGAGAAAGAGTCGCAATTACCTTTTTTATTTGTTATTCTATGGCGGAAACAGACTTCCATACAGTGAGGAGTAAAGTAATAGAGAGGAATAATGCCTCAGATATGATTCATACACACCTTCTCCTGCTGGATTTTGGTCGCTGTATAATAATCAATCGGCTTTTTTGCATAAGGCAAATCCTCTTTCCCATTCTTGATGTCGGTTCCTTCAAACACCACACTAGCACTGCTGGTCAATATTAATTTCTGTAAATCATCATTTAAAAGAATATTCCAGATTAAACAGACTTAATGCTGCCAACTACCACAGAAACACATTTGAAATCCCTTGGTGGACAGAGACACTGTGCATATTGTAGAAAACAGAATTAAATGTACCAAATGAATACATGTGCATACTTTAGCATGATGCGGCTCACATCGCAGAACCATCAAAATATATATATATATATATATATATATATATATATTTTTTTTTTTTTATGTACAGAGTCAGTCATGTACTTTATACTTGGGTTGATATGTTTTTTTAATGTTTGGAAAGAAGTCTCTTCTGCTCACCAAGGCTGTTTATTTGTAATATATAAAAAAAAATTTACTGCATTTTTTATCAATGTAAACTGGCTGTTCTCTATGTGCATATATAGTATGCTGCATTTATTTGATAAAACAGTAAAAGTAGTTAGTAATTGTTTTAAAATGACTCCTATAAATAAATATATAGTAAAGTGTAATTTATTCCTGTGATCAAAGCTGAATGTTCAGCATCATTACTCCAGTCTTCAGTGTCACATGATCCTTCAGAAATCAGTATAATTTGAGGATTTGATGTTCAGAAACATTTATGATTATTATCCATGTTGAAACCAGTTATGCTGCTTCATATTTCTGACCCCATTGGCAGTTTTTTTTAAAGCATAAACAATTAACTTGAGAAAACTTAAAAAACAGACTTAATATCTTCAGTCATTTTGCTTCAAGTAAATGTTGTTTTAAGAACATATACATATATATATATATATATATACACACATTTAAAAAAAAAAAACACTGAGGAAGAACATTTTTAGGGATTCTTTAATGAACAATGTTCAAAAGAAAGACATTTATTTTATTAGAAATATTTTATAACATTATTAATGTCTTTACTGGCATTTTTTGATAGATTTAATGCATTCTTGCTGGAAATTACATTTATTTACACTCAATACATTTTAATATGGGACGCCAGAGAAACGTTTAGTTGAACTTTAGCTCATTTACTTTAGCTTTAGTAGACTTTAAGTGAATATTATGTATTAGTGTATACACAATATTTTCACAAAAATTAGTTTGAGATAAAATAACTGTTAAACCTCCTGTTACAGCCCCTGTACCTGTGTTTACCATCGCTTCCCAGTGCTTTCTGTGTAAAGTTATATCCAATCTTACGCACGACGTGGAATTATTAGGGGTGTAACGAGACCCTCGTGTCACGATTCAATACATATCACGATACGATATTATTGCGATACTCCAAGACATATGATAAACAAACAATGTTCTTTTAATTAAAATAAAAGTGTGTAAATGAATAGTCTTGGACTCGGTGCTGAAACCCAAAGCACAGGACAATAGAGACAGCAGAATAACAATATTCATGCTTCTGAAGATGAAAACACTGAATTATTGTAGATGAATATGCTTGATCTCTGTCACTGACTATATATCGTCGCTGCCCGATGAAACTCACGTATGTCCAAAACGGTTACTTTTCAGGAAGTGAAAAAAACACCGTAATTTCAAAAGCAGTTGAACGTAGCGTTGTCATACTTGGTACAGCATCTTTAAATGTAACCATATAATTACCAGTGTAATGATATAATCCACATTTGACCAAAATCGAGTTTAAATGGACATACGTGCATATTTTACAGTAACGGTGGTCGATACGCGTTCTTCCGATCATTAATTAGAATGGCCAAGTCGCGTTTCATATTGACAGATGAATAGGCTACGCTCAGTTTATTAAATAGCCTACGTCTCAGTTTATTAAATACGCTCAGTTTATTAAAGGTCTCTTGCAAACTATGAAGGGACAATTAATCAATACACTCATTGCTGAGCCCAGGGCCGGCGCGTCCATAGGCGAACTAGGCTTGCATAGAGCGGCACTTTTGTAAGGGCTGCAAAATGTGTGCCAACCGGGAATGAACAATTCACAAAATAGGCTAGGCTATATGATCATATAATCATACATAATCAGAGAGTAGCCTTTTTCTTTTCGTTTTGAATTATTTCGTTTAAAGACTTTTCAAGCTTTGTGCATTTGATGTATTTCTCATGTCTGTGTGAGGCATACACTGTTAAGTTAGGATGAGATGCGCTCCAGTTAACGTGCAATGCAAGTGACCGCGCGGGCGCCTCCATGATTATATTGTCTGCTATATATTTTCTTCTTATTTATTGAATCCACTCCAGGCAATTGGTTGATGAAAAATGGATTAAAATTAAGATACAATTTATACAAAACGAAATTCACAAGAAAGGTTTTCTACAAAATAAAACTTAATGAAGTGGTCAAAATCATGTCTGACACTCCATGTCTCAAATTGTGCATCCTATTTCTCATGCTGTTCACATTTCATAAATCAACAAAAATGGAAGAAAAAACAACATAATATTTTAACAAATATGAAACTAAATGCGCTCATTTAATGGCTACAACAGTATAGTAGACCTACAGACTCTTTTTGTACAAATTGCTGCACATTCATTTAATTCTGAATTTTGCACACACAAGTTAAAAGGCTTCAAATCATGTTCACGGATAATTGTGCGTGCATTTATTAATCATTATGATACTAAAACAATAACAAAGTAGGCTATGCTATGTAGCCTACAAAAAAAGCTGCACCCTTTTTTTTACATTTCATCTTTCATTCCGAAATGAACGAAAAAGTACACCGACCCAACATGTATTAGCCTTTTTACCCGTTATCAATCTAAATTAATCTCGTTTTTAATTTAACTTAATTTCGTTTTTCTTTATTTAAATTTCGTTTTTTTCTTTATTCAATTTTCGTTATTCTTTATTTAAATCTACCCTTTACTGTGTCAGTAATTTATTAGTCAGACAATATTAGACTACCTTAAAAGTAGGCTATTGTTAACAGACCCGTGCGTTAACATCTCAGTGACAATTACTTCCTCTAGACCATTTACCGGTAAATAACAGTTGTGAATATATTGCGAATATATAATAAACTTGAACAGTGTTGTCAAAAACAAACATTTGCTTATAGGCCTACTTTACCTCACAGAGTTATTCGGCTATACCATAGGTCGGCAACCCGCGGCTCTAGAACCGCATGCGGCTCTTAAGCACCGCCCTAGTGGCTCCCTGGAGCTTTTTCAAAAATTTGAAAATGGAAAAAATATTTTTTGTTTTAATATAATTTCTGTAGGATGAAAAACATGACAAGCATTCTTAAAGTTTTTCGACGTTGTAAAAATGTGTATAATAAATATTTAATTTCAACATTTCTGTCAACGAAGAATTTACGTCATAGACTGTGACACACGTGTCTGTCAGATCGGCGTGATGCCAGACCGGTGGCTGACAAACAAACCGGCGGGTGTGTCATGGGCCATGGATCCCAAGGGGGAAAAGAGAAAGATAGCTGAGCACTCCCAACGCACTCTAGTGCGGCGCGGGACTAGATTTGATGGCCGAGTGCGAGCGCCGGCGCGTGCGGTAATGCACTCACTCTACTAAAACAAAATAGAAACGATTTACAGGCCAGAATTTCTATTCATAACATGTTTGCAGCGTTGAGCGATATAGCCAATCACAGACATATGTGTTGATTTCTTGAACGCAATGGCCAATCAGAAGCATTTAAGATAGACTCCCCTCACGCTCAAAACTGACTTTTCTGTTCAGTGCTGAATTCTGTATGCTGGCAAATCCTCCAAATATAACGAACAACGTGTGGAAATTATGAAAGATTCATTGTGCAGTCAGCTTCATTGATAATAACAGAGATGTGTGAGATCGCGATGAACTGTCAGCTTTTTAGGAATTATTAAGAGAGCGCACTTTGCGCGCATTCAGTCATGCCAAACCATGCACGCATAGTAAACTGCTTGCTTCTATGTTAAATTAACAGTGGTTTGTGTTTTAATGCTTTAATAACAAATAATTTATCAGGAGGATGTATGGTGGCGACACGTAGGCTAACTTGAAAGTATTTGGAGGTAGCCTACAGAAAAAAGTGTATTTGCGGGCGGGAGGGGGGGACAAAACATAAATGTTGCGGGCGGGAGAAAGAAAGTTGAGAACGTCAGTTATAACAACCCACGCATTAAAAAATGGTCGGGTTCAAATCGGGCTCGGGCTCATAATTACGTTTAATGTGTCGGGCCGGGCTTGATTTTTTGGGCCCGATCTAAGCTCTAATTTGTAGCCTACTTATCATTTTGATACTAGAGGGCTAATATAACACTTACAGCATGTGTTGCCTTCATTATAAGGCTTATATAAAGCTTTTAATTTTTTGCGGCTCCAGAAATATTTTTTTATTTTTATTTTGGTCCAATATGGCTCTTTCAACATTTTGGGTTGCCGACCCCTGGGCTATACAATCCTGAGCTTCCAGAGACGCTTAGACCTGCGAGATTTCCTCCACAGGGCGGGAGATACGCGGTGATTGACAACTTTGACACCAAATGGATATACGTGGAAATCAGATGACATGATTTCACAACTTTTCATTGGTCATTTAGACATGTGAAGCATACGGTATACGGAAATGAACCTGGACATTCTATCCGTCGAAAAATCTCAAAATCGGCAAAATGGACATACGCGGTTTTCATCGGACAGCGACGATATATTTATAATAATGTCGGCCACTTTTACTGGTAACATCAGACATCCGGCATTATCAGCACACACACACATTCCCCCAGTGCATTATTATACATTAATTTTTATTTTGGGTAACTATCCACGATACATATTGTTGCATTTTTGTATTGCGATATATTGTGACATGATATATTGATACACCCTTAGGACTTCTAACACATACCTGAACTCCGGCCTCCAGACAGGCCTGTATGACCGTCCGTGTGCCGTCGATGTTGACCCTCTGAAACAGAGCTCGGTCGTCACTGCCCGGAGCCGGAGACGCGCAGTGAAACACTATAGACACTTCCTTCAAAGCCGACAGCAAAGCCTGGAGGAGACATGAGGAGAACAGCTGAGAGCGAGAAGACCACAGGGGATCGCTCAGACTAGGGGAGAACTAATGTTTCCCATAGGAACGTTTTCCTGGTTGTGTTCGCGCCGCCAGTAGAGCTCTGACGTGACGTAAGACACACTTGTGGTTGTGACTTATTTTGATGGCGCTGAGAACGCCAGAGGCCTGTCTAACAGTCTAATACGGTATTAGACAGAACTGTTGTACACAAGTAGACAGTAATGAGCAGTTATTAGCGTATGGCGTGTGGTTGATGTCCAGTGTTGCGGAGCAGAAATACAGAATCATGTTTCTCTTGCTCTCCTCAAAGTTGCGTTGGAGTTTCTCCTCAGCGTAAAGGTTGAGAGGCTCATCTATCACTGTTATACATGTGCGTAGAGTTAGTTTCTGTAGTAAATATATAGGCTATAATCTGTGTGTTTACACAGCCTTTTTGAAAATGGCGGCTGCTGGTGTTTCCCGTACGTTTGGCCAATCAGCGAACACTGACGTCACTGTAGATCCTATAGCGCTGGTTTAGACCGACTCTGGAGTAAATTAGTTCCTCTAAAATCGTTCCTAGAACTAAAATCATTCCCAGTTCCTGCGGGAAAACCAGGAACTTTCACCAACAGTTCTAGGAACTAGGAAAATGTGTGTGCTAGTGACTCTGAACGATCCTCACCTGTTTGTCACACAAGTCTCCTTGGTGAAACGTCACTCCCGGAAGCTCATAGGCCTGTCTGATGTCGAACACACTCACGGTGTATCCGCGGTCCACTAACCGCTCCACGAGGTGCCGGCCCAGAAACCCCGAGCCCCCAATGACGGCACAGCGCTTGCTGCTCTGCGGAGGAAAACCAGCACAGCCTCGTAAACAGCTGGACTCACTGCCACTCGCTGGCAGAAGAGAAGATGAAGCATCCATAAACCACAATGTTGGACAATTAACACAGTTTAAACACAAGTAGATAAACACAAACATACACAAATGACAATAAATAAATAAAAGTGAACGGAATCCATGATGGTCATACAGTCAAACATTATTCAGACACCAGATAATTTTTTTTTTTTTTTTTTTTTTTTTTTTTACTAGTGTGTGCCGGACACTATAGTTCATTTATGTAAGTGAGGAGAGCAGAATAAAGTAAACTGTGATATATTACACCCATAAACTCTTCATACAGTGACTACCAGTAAAAATTTTGGACCAAAAATGATTCCTCCACTTTGAGCTGATCATGTTTTGCTGAAGTGTGTTTTCTGTAATTGCTAATGCTCTTTTTACACACACTGAACAACATGAAGCATTGCTTGGTCACTGGTTGAGCTAAACTGGTATTATCTAATTGTGTAGTTAAATTGAACAGCTGACAGATATTCAACATAATTCATGTGTGAGAGTCTAACAGAAGGACGGACAAAACCAGTCAAATATCCACTGATCTGAGAACTCTGAGTTCTGCTCATGTTTATCACCATTTTCTAAACTATAGCGAATAAACTGATACTGTGAGAAATGCTGAAGGTGTGTGAATACATGTTGGTTTGACTGTGTTACAAAGGAGCAATAAGGAGTGTAAAACGTTTTACAGAGTTTTACACTGTACAGATCATGTATAAAGTATTTAATAAATTTTCTTCCAAATTTTTTTCAGAGGCTGTTCGAAATCAGAGAAAGTCCATATAAACTAAGAGGAATGTATGCGTTTAAAAAAAGTAAGGACAAAAACTAATACAAAAAATAGATGCATATCTGTCAACCTAAGGAATATTTGTGATAAGAAATTAATTGTGCAGTTCACTCTGTAAATTCAACACGTAAATAATTATATAATTCAAAATGAATGATTTGTGTATGTAATATTTAAACTATTGTGTAATAATATCTAAAATGTGTACCTTTATAATCATGAATGTACATTTTGGAAATTGTCTTATGTAACTGTTTGTTTTGTATGAATCAAATCCAGAGAAAAAAAGTGACGCTCATTAGATAATTATGTATAAAGGGTAGGAATAATAAGCAAAGGCTTTAGCCTACACCTTTTCGGTTATTATGCACACACACAATTTGTAGTTTTGAGTATTACAGGATTTCTTTTTTTCACTGATTTGAGAACTTTATCCTCAAAACAGTGAGGCTCAAACAAACAGATTGAATCCAATATTTGGTGGTATGGTGGCATAAAGAGAGATTTATAAGCAATTATTTTCAGGCCGGTCATTTTTAACCAGGAACATCACAAGTGTTAAAGGTTTATATACACTTATTATTCAACAATATTACTGATTTTACTGCAGTGAGTGACTGATGTTTTCTGCACGGCTGCTGTATAGATAAACTAAAGTAATAATCGATGATCTTTACAACAGAACTGAATCAACTTCAGCCGAACAATGACACTAGTTTCTTTTAAAGCTTCTGTACAGAGGAAATTAACTCTGTTTGGATCATTGATTGAATCACTGTAAAGCTGCTTTGAAACATTATGTATTGTATAAAGCGCTATATAGACATTAAAGGCGACTTGACTCAGGTGATAGTGAGGTGTTTCAGGTGTTCATACACTCACCGGTCTGATACGAGTTGCCATGTGTGTTTCTCTCAGCTCTCCCGACGGCAGTCTACAGGACAACCACAAATACACTGGCTAATTACTTCTTAAAAACTGTCACACGCTGGATAACCATTTACTGCACACTTTATACTATTTTAGGTTTTACTCCGAATGAACAGTTCGCTACAACCAAACATACTTTTACAAACTAGTTATCCTCGAAGCCCAGTTTACAAGATACAGTTTGTTCTAGTCCCGTAAAGTTTCAGTTAGCAATAACAGCACTCACCTGTTCAACTTACATTCGAGTTACAGCTGTAATGAATGATAATGAGGGAAACAAGAAGAGCCGCATGAGCAGAGAGCGGAGGAACATCTGATTGGTCGAGCCAACTATCAGGAATCAGCCTGACGTGTGAGTTTAACCAATGAGAGAAGCGCTACGTCAAAGAGCGCCACTGCGCGGCCCAATCAGTAAAAAGAACAGTTTCACCTCCTCATGACATCACCAATCAAGTTCCTACATGTGCTTTTTATTATTTATATATTATGGGAACAGTTAATTGAATATAGCGCGTTTGTGTATTTGTTTACAAGATACTTTAAGAGATATACAAATAATAATATAGAAATAACATGACCAGTAAATCTGAGCCAATCAGAAATCAGTGCGGTAAATCGGTGTGCGCGCGCTTATGAATAAAAAAAATAAATAAATAGGTTAACTTTATAAAGCCCCCAAGTTATGGAATAAAAGCAGAATATAGAAGCGTTATAATCGGGATAAGATGCTTTTGTACGAATATTACGAATCTTACTATGGCGAGTAGACTTGATTATTTAGGCTGTGTGGATGTTGCAGCTTCCTAATTATTATTCATGACGTGTCAAGATTTCCGCCCACTTGCCAACGTCTTCCTAGTTTCAGCCAATCAGTTGGGCCTACAGACCGAACGTCACGGAACGTAGTTAATATTCATAAACCAAGCCTTCACCATAGTGTGGTTATATTATTCTCCTCTCGGTGAAGATGGTGAGTCACGACGAATGCAACTGTCGCAATCTGTATATTTATGTTTGCGATTTATCAAAGTAGTGTCACTCCCTTTTAGTGTATCCGTTTAATTGCCATTAGTATAAACATGTCCTTCTTCAGGTTTGTGTGACATACGTATGTTGCTTATTATTGCTACTGGTCTTTATTTTTCATCGGGAAAAAAAGAGAAAAAATTGTCATGGTATTTAGGAGTGAATCTACAACCAAGGCTAATTAAATGCTAGTCTTATTTAATGCAGAGAATTTTATATTCCTCTTATTCTATTTCTTTCACCTAACAATCTTATTCTATCTAACCTGTATTATCTCTTATGTTCACTGTCTAATTTATGTTTACAGTATGTGTCTTGTATTCATAAACTGTATTGCAATGTGCACTGTACTGTACTGGTCCTGTTTTAATAGAGGTTCTATTCTATTCTATTCTGTGCTATATAACTCAGGCCACTAGTCCCAAAAGACCCTCTCTGGGTGCCGTAGCCCCCCGTAAGAAAGCCAACCCAAAGCCTGAGCTGACAGAGGAGCAGAGGCAGGAGGTCCGAGAGGCGTTCGAGCTCTTCGACACTGATGGCTCTGGCTATATCGAGGTGAAGGAGTTAAAGGTGAGGGATATAATGCCATGCATGAACACAGCTTGAGGAGTTTACATCCCAGTGTTGCATTGTCTCTATTTAGTGACGTATATCTCTATACAGAGGGGTCCCAAACCCTGAGACCACATCGGAAATAGTATGATTGTCTTTTAAATTCGGCATGAAACGAAAGTTGCACCTGTGTTTTCTTCTCTATTGTGACGTATATCCGAGTGAAACGCTTCAGGAACAAGAACAGATGTAGGGCGGGGCTTGATTGTGTCCGTGGGGAATTGATTGGACGGTTGTGGTTTGCTATTGGTGGGTCTCATGTGAGTGACAGGTTAAAGCCCCGCCCTCGTCATCAGAGAAGAGAAGAGATGCGAGACGAAGATATTCTGATTCAAGATTACAAAGATGAATTTAGAAATATAATGATGATGACATCAATCGTTTATAATAAACATGTCAATATTCCATAAAAAAATAATTATATAAGTGCCAGTCGATTTCATGGCGACTTTAAACTTGCAACGTTATAGGATTTTAAGAAAAAAAAAAATTGACTATTTGTTCAATATCTTTATTTATATGAAGGAATTTTATGTTTTAAAATAAATAAATAAATCGATTTTGCATTAAAAATAAAGCTTTTTTGAAAAATACTTTTTATTTTAAAAATTATAATCAAAAAATAAATGAAAAGTAAGATATATAGACACGACATATAGGACTTGGAATTTTTTAAATTTTTTTTTTTTTTAAGTATGACTAATGAAACTAATACAAAAATGTAATAATTTTCACCAGTGCCGCCAGACTGTGTGGCGTATCATACCTGTCAACCCTCCCGTTTTTCCTGGGATTCTCCCGTATCCCGTTTAAATATTTTCCCCTATTTGTAATCTTTCTATAAAATAAAATAAATCCCACTGGGCGCAAACCAGTTAAGCGTAAGTCCCGCCCTGCAGCTGATTGCATTGGTTAAGGTTACGGGAAGGTTTAGGGATCAGTGTTTGGTGTAGACAAGAAGAACAGCCACATCCCGAGGATGGACGGACACGAGAGAGATGGCACTGGACACTATGTATGTAATGTGGGCTATTATGTATGTAATACAGAGATGATGTATTTATATATGTTAATGTCTGCGCAGTTAAAGGTGCTCTATGTAAGTTTTAGCGGCCTCTAGTGGTGATGTTTCAGATTGCAACCAAATTTTACAAGAGCGCTCGTGCTCGAACTCATAGGCAATACCGTCTATTACGCAAATATCTCGGCGAATACTAGACGGATTCGGCGAGCTCGTTGGGACCATCTAGTCGAGCTGAAAAGAACCATATAAGGTCCATAGTTTTTGGTGGTGTTTTCGCGGAGATATTAGCAGAAAACCATCGGGCGCGCTGCAAAATTGCGGACGCCGGTGACGTCACGATCTCAGAAGAAAATCGCTCGTATCTCTGGAACGCAAAGACCCAGAGAGCTCAAATTCGGGGGAGGAGGTCCCAGGGGAACCCTTGCCCGAACGCTAGAGTGGCGGGCCTCGGGGATGCCCCCTACCGGATCGCCGTTCGCTGGGACCCCCGATTTCCAACGGCTATAACTCGGGGAGCCGGGCGAGTTGGACCTCGGGGGTGGGCTCGTTCGAAAGGCCCCGTCCAGCACTACGAACGATTAGAGTCTTGGGAATATTGATCAAAGATTTACTGAGATATAAGCCGAAAAACCTGCGCCTTTAACCGGACGTAACTCCCTGACCGTCTACAATAGACTGTATATAAGGAGAGAGGCTCGGGAGCGCGCGTGCACGTCACACCCGTTGGATTTCGCGGTAAATCCGACCCGGAGACTTCACATAGAAATAGGAATACTGGCCTTCAGAGGTAATAGCAAAACTTGACAAGTGGATCATTGTAATGTGTGATTACAACCCCTTCACACACAGGCAATAAAAAAAGGATTCATTCTAGTAGAAAAGTTACATAGAGCACCTTTAATGTTTATTTAGCCACCCGTTCAGATCTCCCGTATTCAGGAATGCAGATGTTGACGGGTGTGTGACGTGTCCTGTGAGTAACGGGATCTCTGCTCCAGGTGGCCATGAGAGCGCTGGGATTCGAGCCTAAAAAGGAGGAGATCAAGAAAATGATTGCAGAGGTTGATAAGGAAGCGACCGGGAAGATCTCGTTCAGTGATTTCATGGCAGTGATGAACCAAAAAATGGTAAGGTCTTTCTTTAGTAGGTTATTTATTCCCTTAAGAAAACTCAAACTGCTGTGTGGGAAACCTCTAGGCTGAAAAGGACTCTAAAGAAGAAATCCTCAAGGCTTTCCGGCTGTTTGACGACGACGAGACTGGGAAAATATCTTTCCGGAATCTAAAGAGAGTGGCCAAAGAGCTCGGGGAAAACCTGACGGACGAGGAGCTGCAGGTACACACACACACACACACCTGTGCGTGATCCGTGACAGATGATGTCACTGCGAGTCGGAAAACATTAACGTTGTCCCGCTGTCTTCAGGAAATGATTGATGAAGCAGACAGAGATGGAGATGGAGAAGTTAACCAGCAGGAGTTTCTGCGCATCATGAAGAAAACAAGTTTGTACTGAATGTCACCGGAAGCACAGGATTCTGACAAGAAACCCTTTCAATGTAAACATATTCAATGTCACTGTTTTATCATTCCAAAACCTCGATGCCTGTCGACCCCGGTGATCCGATCCGATCCGTGAGGGTTTGCCAAACGTCAGCTGTTTACACTCTATAGTCTCAAATCATATCGGGAAAGAAGATATACACACAACAGAGGTTGTAGCGATCGAGTGAGTCATACAACGACTCAGATATTATATGAGCGAATCTTATGTTTCGGAATAAATATAAAAAATACATTTTGCATTAAAAATAAAGCTTATTTTTAAGTTTTTTTAAAAACATTTTTTATTTTACAGTAAGATACATGGTTGCTTTACTTGAAATGGGAAATTAGAGGGAAAATGTGCTTAATGTTCCTGAAATATCTGCGTTTACATGCACACTAATCATCCGATTGTGATCGGGCTTGTCGCAGTTTATAAAAGTTATACACAATTCAATCTGAATGAATTGACCCGATCCGATTTAAACGTCATTCGCCTTGTAAGGGGTGGTTTCAACATTTCCTAATCCGTGTGATGGAACAAAACACTTGATCGGATTGAAAACCGAAACTGGGAAGTACTGCGCATGTGCAGTGATGTGGAGATGGCGGAGACGTATACTAATGCAGAGCCAGACGGGGACGGGTCATAAACATGGAAGCTTGTTTCCGCCACACAATAAAACATTTTAAAAGATAATTTCGACTTTTTATCTCACAATTGCGAGTTTACATTTCGAAATTCTGACTTTATTTCTCAGTATTGTGTGTTATAAAGTCAAAATTGCATGATAAACTCGCAATTGCGTGTTATAAAGTCAGAATTGCATTTATAAACTCGCAATTCTGACTTTTTTCCTCAGAATTGTGAGATAAAATTGCAATTTTGAGTTATAAAGTCCAATTCTAAGGCAATTCTGAGTTTTTCCCTCAGAATTGCGTGTTTATCAAGCAATTCTGACTATAACGCAATCGCGACTTTAGCCTAGGCCTATATCACGCAATTCTGAGGAAAAAAGTTGCAATTACGTTTTTTTATTTTGTATTCTGTGGTGGAAACAAGCATACTATACATAAATGATTGTCATGTCAATGTAAAATTTTCCTTCCACTCATCGTCTGTGAAATTGTCCAACATTTGACAACTGACACCCCATCAGTGCTTGCGTCCACAGACGCGCTTCCGCTGTTTTACTGCCTGATAAATAAGCTGTTCATGTGCTCGTCATCTTCAAATTACGACCTGAAATAGATCAATATTAAGTGGGAAACAGTATGAACATGTCAAAAGATCTTGTTACATAAATCACGTCAACCCGATCACTTATTTAAACTATGTTCGGTTTCATCAATCGGAAATTAAAGGTGTCCATGTAAACGTTGCAAATTAAAACGTCAAATGTATTTTTTCACATTCACTCACTCATATATATATATAGGCCTACTGTACATTTACGTTTCTGCCTTGTGGAAGTATACATCACGGATTAAACGATCCCGACGTGTTGAATGATGATGTTCAGTGTGCTTTCAGGGACGTCTGTGCCTCGGCTTCACACACACCACTCACTGCAGCTTCAGTGAACACACACGTCTGTGCCTCGGCTTCACACACACCACTCACTGCAGCTTCAGTGAACACACGTCTGTGCCTCAGCTTCACACACTTCGCCTACTGTGATCCTGTGCTTGTATTTATCCTATTAGATTCCTTTATGCATCATCTACCTTTAAACTTGGTTTCATATGTTTTGTATTTAAGTATATTTGAGATGCTATTTAAGTATTATTTAAAATAAATAAATTGTATTAAGCTGGTGATGACTTTTGTCAATTTATTTCCTTGCCCAATTTTTAATTATTCAGTATTTTATTTTTAATCAATGTTACAAAAGGTTTATATTAAACTGTTCTTCTGAACTGTGAAATATGAAGAAATCAGAAATATGAAGCAGCACAATTGTTGATAATGATAAATGTTTCTTGAACATCAAATCATAGACTGATTTCTGAAGGATCATGTGACTGAAGACTGGAGTAATGATGTGGAAAGTTCAGCTTTGATCACAAGCATAAATTACACTTTACAATATATTAAGAGTTATTTTAAAACATAATATTTCACAAAGTTACTTACTACTTTTACTGTATTTTATCAAACAAATGCAGCCTTGGTGAGCAGAGGACTTGTTTAGATTCAGAAGTGCACAGAATAAAGAGGAAAAAAGGAGAATGAAATAACTCAATTGTTTATTCTTAAAAAAAAAAGAAACATATCCAAACACAAATAAAGCACAAATATAGGCATAACTAACCAAAGTGACACACAGACACAAATAAAGAGGCATCACACATTTCCCTTTGATAGCAAGAGGTCGATTTTAAGATTTAACAGCACACTCATGAGAGTAAATGAACACGGCTCATATTATAAGGCTTCTATGGCCTTTAACCATAAATAAAATCATTTCACATTATAAAACAAGTAAAACTGATGTGATTTCAAGTACGTTGAAGCTGCAAATGAACAGAACTCTGGATACTATGGTTGGAGGTATTTGGATCAGCTCTGACTGTGTGTGTGTGTGTGTGTGTGTGTGTGTGTGTGTGTGTGTGTGTGATCAGAGATCAGCTCTGACTGAGACGTGTCTTGCTGGCGAAGTCGGCGCTGAGTTTGCGCATGACCTCTGCGTGACCCTGTCCTGCGAGCTGCTGTCTGGCGGAGCTGTAGTTCTCCTTCACGAAGCTGGCGAAGGGCGCTGGCGCCCGCGGCTTTGAGGGAGTCAGCAAAACCAGCTGTCCGGTGCACAAAGCACACACAAACTTCGTAGTGTCCAGTGACTTAGAGTGGCGGCCGATCCTGTGAGGGACAGAAACACTGACTGTTAGAGACAGTCGTCCATGTTTGCAGTATCAAGTACAGTGCCTTACGAAAGTATTCGGCCCCTTGAAGTTTGACCTTTTGCCACATTTCAGGCTTCAAACATAAATATATAAAACTGTAATTTTTTGTGAAGAATCAACAACAGGTGGGACACAATCATGAAGTGGAAGGAAATTTATTGGATATTTCAAACTTTAACAACTGAAAAATGGGGCGAGCAAAATTATTCAGCCCCTTTACTTTCAGTGCAGCAAACGCTCTCCAGAGGTTCAGTGAGGATCTCTGAATGATCCAATGTTGACCTAAATGACTAATGATGATGTGTGTAATCAAGTCTCCGTATAAATGCACCTGCTCTGTGATAGTCTCAGAGGTCCGTTTAAAGCACAGAGAGCATCATGAAGAACAAGGAACACACCAGGCAGGTCCAAGATACTGTTGTGGAGAAGTTTAAAGCCGGATTTGGATACAGAAAGATTTCCCAAGCTTTAAACATCCCAACAGCACTGTGCAAGCGATAATATTGAAATGGAAGGAGTATCAGACCACTGCAAATCTACCAAGACCCGGCCGTCCCTCTAAACTTTCAGCTCATACAAGGAGAAGACTGATCAGAGATGCAGCCCATGATCACTCTGGATGAACTGCAGAGATCTACAGCTGAGGTGGGAGACTCTGTCCATAGGACAACAATCAGTCGTATACTGCACAAATCTGGCCTTTATGGAAGAGTGGCAAGAAGACAGACATTTCTTAAAGATATCCATAAAAAGTGTCGTCTAAAGTTTGCCACAAGCCACCTGGGAGACACACCAAACATGTGGAAGAAGGTGCTCTGGTCAGATGAAACCAAAATCAAACTTTTTGGCAACAATGCAAAAACGTTATGTTTGGCGTAAAAGCAACACAGCTCATCACCCTGAACACACCATCCCCACTGTCAAACATGGTGGTGGCAGCATCATGGTTTGGGCCTGCTTTTCTTCAGCAGGGACAGGGAAGATGGTTAAAATTGATGGGAAGATGGATGGAGCCAAATACAGGACCATTCTGGAAGAAAACCTGATGGAGTCTGCAAAAGACCTGAGACTGGAACGGAGATTGACAATGATCCAAAACAAAGCAAAATCTACAATGTAATGGTTCATAAATAAACATATCCGGGTGTTAGAATGGCCAAGTCAAAGTCCAGACCTGAATCCAATCGAGAATCTGTGGAAAGAACTGAAAACTGCTGTTCACAAACGCTCTCCATCCAACCTCACTGAGCTCGAGCTGTTGTGCAAGGAGGAATGGGCAAAAATGTCAGTCTCTCGATGTGCAAAACTGATAGACATATACCCCAAGCGACTTACAGCTGTAATCGCAGCAAAAGGTGGCGCTACAAAGCATTAACTTAAGGGGGCTGAATAATTTTGCACGCCCAATTTTTCAGTTTTTTATTTGTTAAAAAAAGTTTGAAATATCCAATATATTTCGTTCCACTTCATGATTGTGTCCCACTTGTTGTTGATTCTTCACAAAATTTCTGTGTAATATGTTTGAAGCCTGAAATGTGGAAAAAGGTCGAAAAGTTCAAGGGGGCCGAATACTTTCGCAAGGCACTGTATGAGCGAGACTAGCGATTATTTTAGTAATCAACCGATTATTGCGACGATTAACCGGGCGGTTATTGCGACGATTAACCGGGCGGTTATTGGGACGATTAACCGGGCGGTTATTGGGACGATTAACCGGGCGGTTATTGGGACGATTAACCGGGCGGTTATTGCGACGATTAACCGGGCGGTTATTGCGACGATTAACCGGGCGGTTATTGCGACGATTAACCGGGCGGTTATTGCGACGATTAACCGGGCGGTTATTGCGACGATTAACCGGTCGGCTCTTGCGACGATTATCCGGGCGGTTATTGCGACGATTAACCGGGCGTCTATTGCGTCGATTAACCGGGCGGTTATTGCGACGATTAACCGGGCGGTTATTGCGACGATTAACCGGGCGGTTATTGCGACGATTAACCGGGCGGTTATTGCGACGATTAACCGGGCGGTTATTGCGACGATTAACCGGGCGGTTATTGGGACGATTAACCGGGCGGTTATTGGGACGATTAACCGGGCGGTTATTGCGACGATTAACCGGGCGGTTATTGCGACGATTAACCGGGCGGTTATTGCGACGATTAACCGGGCGGTTATTGCGACGATTAACCGGGCGGTTATTGCGACGATTATTGAGTAATTCCTTTTTTTGGGTTAAAAAATAGACCCAAGCATACAATGACTCAAAATACATATTTAATAACAAGGAGGCAATAATAATAGTTTCAAATAAAATATCGAAATCAAGTAATCAATTATAGTTTTATAGAAAAACACTTAAAATTCACAATATAATATACATAATAAAGACAATATAATACACATAATAAAAACAATCAAGTTATGTACATTATGTATTATAACAAATGCCTGCAGAGGCACCAACATGGGCGGTGATTGTTGTTACACTTTACAGCAGATCAAATCCAGGTTTAATATTGGCCAAACGATGTTTACTTAATCTTTAATATTTGGCAACTTCTTTAAAAAAGAAATACTACAGCCACTGTAATTTCTTTGTAATTTAATTTAGAATTTGTGTGCTGTATATACATTTTATGTATTTGTACTCGATTTGTGTGGAGGTTTTGAATGTGTACCGTTTGTACACATTTGCATAGGTTTTGAATTTATTATGTGTTGTACACTTGTGTGTTTTGAATTTATGTACACAAAATCTTTCATTTGAAAGTCACGTGTCTAGTATCTGTAAAACCGCATTTTTCCATCTTAAAAACATATATCTAAATTACGTCATATGCTCTCATTGACAAATGCGGAACAGCTAGTTCATGACATCAAGGCTAGATTATTGTAATGCTCTTATGGGTGGTTGCCCTGCACGCTTAATAAACAAACTACAGCTAGTTCAAAACGCAGCAGCTCGAGTTCTTACCAGAACCAGGAAGTATGACCATATTAGCCCGGTTCTGTCAACACTGCATTGGCTGCCTATTAAACATCGTATAAATTTTAAAATATTGTTGACTTACAAAGCACTAAATGGTTTAGCTCCGCAGTACTTGAGCGAGCTCTTAACGCATTATAGTCCATCACGTCTCTTGCGATCTCAAATTTCCGGCCAGTTGATTATACCTAGAATATCAAAATCGACTGCTGGTAGTAGATCCTTTTCCTATTTAGCACCGAACCTTTGGAACAGTCTTCCTAACATTGTCCGGGAAGCAGACACACTGTCAGTTCAAATCTAGACTAAAAACACATCTCTTTGACCTAGCATACACAACACATTAGACTTCTATAATTCAATGTTAGGCTGCATAGTTTAGGTCAGACGGAACTGGGAACACTTCCCATAAATCCTGATGTACTCGTTACATCATAAGAAGAATGGCATCTACGCTAATATTAGTCTCTCTGTTTATCCCGAGGTTTACCGCAGTCCGCCGGATCCAGATCTGATGAAGGACCTGCGTCTGGACACGACGACAACGCAGTCCTGAAGTGTCACTAGTCCCTCCCTGTGAAGGCCTCCTTCCCTTTACCTCTGGACAGATACGTTGTCGGGATAATTCCGGTTCACGTGGCTATGGAAGCCATACAATTTTTTTTATTATAAATTTATTTCAGGGTTTGCGTTCTCGAGCCACCAGGCACTTTTTTGTGCTGATGAGCGGACCTGATCACATTAAGGGTTTTGTGTTAGAACGGTGTCATGTTAGCGGCCCCTAAGTTAAAGGACAATTCCGCCGGAAAATTAAAACCTAGGGGTTAATAACACATTGGTACCGAGTCGACCATTCTCTGGGATGTGTTTTCATGATAATCGAATGTACCCAGTTTTAGCTTGAACCACAGATTAGCTTATAACGCTATAATAGGGCATAGAGTAAGTAAAAATAAAAATCGCTAGTTAATACCACTAACAAGGCTCAAAATAGCCCCACACTAACAGAGGACTGAGGGTCCCTACATGCAAACCGAAGCATTGAGAACTCTGTAAATGTACAGACCGTTTAATAGGAAGATACTTTATAAAGACAATACACTTCGCGTATACAGACAGGAGCCATCTTGGAGAACAGTCTCGACCAGTCGAACGCCGTGCTAAGTGAGCTGAACTGTGACTTGGAATCTCATATGGTCCGTTGTTTCCGGAAGAAAGCACTGAGCGCATAAGAGAAGATCTGAACGCAACGACCAGCTCAGCGTTCGTGGTTCGACTGGTCGAGACTGTTCTCCAAGATGGCTCCTGCCTGTACATACGTGAAGTGAATCTGCGAGGGAAAATCTTCTGCCTCACGGGAAACATCCCATCGCATGCATTCCTATTGAAATGACAACAACGGTAAATGTGACCAAAGCAGCAAAAACCAGGAAAGCTCTACTCACGAGTTCTCGCAGCGGTTACACTGATACTGGTACTTGTAGTTGATGTCGTAGCTGTGGCAGCGGGTCACCATCGGGAGCTCGGGATGAGCCAGCATTGCTTTACGGGCATAAAGCCTCCAGAAGGGCCCGTGCCCGTCACGAACGCCGTTAATCAGCCACGTGGCAGCGTGACACAACTCATGCACCAACGTGTCCCGTAGACGATCTGTCAGGGGAAACACATCGCGTTTACTGGCAAGCATCAGTTGAGCTGTTGAGCATTTTAAAAACGGTGAAGACAAGCACCTGCGGAGTCGCACACTTTGTCGGACAGCTCGATACGGGCGTATCGTGTCCCAGTGCCGCGCTCCTGGCCCGAGACGCAATACCCCGCTGTCTTACGCATCTTCTTGTTCCATGTGACAGACATGTCCGTGGGAAGCTGAGGGGTGGGAAGTAATGATTTTAAAACAACCAGAGACGTTTTTTTTCTCATTCCACTGCCCTGCATCTTCAAGGTTTCTGCACATTTTTTAAACTGCGTTTTAAAATGCATTCTGTGTGAATCTTGTGGTTGTCGCCGTTGGTCAGTGTCTGTCGGAACGGTGTAAATTAGCCTAAAAGTGTTGTGACTGGTTGCCAGTACAATTGCTAAGGTGTCTTGCTAATTGATCATTTTAAAAATTGAGTGTTCATCAGAGGGGTCCAAGAGTCTAGGACTTATGTCGCACTTGAACCACAAACATTCACAAAAGGAGTTTTGAACGGATTCGAGGAGTTTTGTGGTTGAAAGTGTAAAAAGTAACAAATCCTTCGCTCGCGGGTCAATTTGACCCCCTTAGGAATGAATGGGATGTGAGGAATGCTTCAGTACACACAGAAATACCTAAAAATGCTCACATCAAACTAAAAATGCTCAAACTTTAACCAAAAAATGACGTGTGTAATGTCTACATGTGTATCTGAATGCATACTGAAGAGAAACTGACTTTAGGACCCAGAGGAACAGTGTCTAGAGTTATGAAATAACATGATATATAATTGTTTTCCCACAAGAGGTCGGCAAAGACGCCCAATGTAAGATATTTTGAGCTGAATTAAAAGGGTTACGCATGAAATTGTGAGTTATTTCGAATTTTTAGTTGAAAGAATGTGAGGAATGTCCTTAAATTACTATTTATTTATTATTTACAGATCAAATCTAGTAATTTAAAAAGGTAAATAAAATAAAAATTAAAAATAGAAAAAAATAACCAAAATGAAATAAAATTCGCTTTCTGGACAAAAAAAACACAATTAAGTATAATTTTAGGGCAAGATGGGAAAGATGCGTTACAGTGCGAGGGACTGAGTTAGAGTGATATCATGCAGTGGCAGATGTTGATTTCTGGCTCAGGTCAGAGGTCACCCTCAGGTCTCTATAATATTCTGGATTAGTGGTTGTTCGATACAGCGTCACGACCGACATGGAGTGTGTTTACATGCTCGTTCTTAACCCGATAGTGCTTAATAAGCCGACAACATGTGTGTGTGTGGTCATGTAACGCGTCAAACCCTTTCCCTTTGTCGCCCTAAGGTCATAAACAGCTTAAGAATAAACCAATTTTTCCCTGATTTCTGTCCTTAAAACACCTTAACCTGCGTTCTGTCAGCTTATTGAAGTGTGCATGTGTGAGATGAGACATAAAAACACCTTTCAATGTGATTACGTAATGTGTGTCGCATCACAGCGAGTGCAAGATGAGCATTTGTGGTTAAAAGTATATAAATGTTTATTTTGTTTATAAAATGTCCGCTGGTTTGTCCATCAGACTCTTATTCCTCGGCTGGATCGTGTCGAGACTTTGAAGCTGCACTGAAACTCACATCTGGACCTTCGACCCATTGGACCCCATTGAAGTCACTATATGGAGAAACATCCTGGAATGTTTCCTTAAAAACCTTCATTTATTTCGACTGAAGAAAGAAAGACATGAACGTCTTGGATGACGTGGAGGAGAGTAAATTGTCAGGAAATGTTAATTCAGAGGTGAACTACTCTTTAATTTAACGTGCAGAACACACAGTGAACATGACATAAATACGGTGTGGGTTTAAACGAACCTCGAACCCTAAACATCAGCCCTGGTGCTTCACATGTACCTGACTGTCAAACACGCTGGAGTTGTAGAGCTGGAAGAGTTTGGCGGTCAGCTCCTCTTTCTTCTGTCTGAAGCTGCGGCCGAACGAGGATCCCGGATCAGCCAGAGACTGCAGGAAGCATCCGGGGGTTTTACACAGCAGCGCTCTGGCAAACGGGAACAGAGGGATATGAGCGTCATCATCCGGTGCTGACGGAGTGAGTACGGGCTCAGGTCGGGGGAGTGAGTACGGGCTCAGGTCGGGGGAGTGAGTACGGGCTCAGGTCTGGGGAGTGAGTACGGGCTCAGGTCGGGGGAGTGAGTACGGGCTCAGGTCGGGGGAGTGAGTACGGGCTCAGGTCGGGGGAGTGAGTACGGGCTCAGGTCGGGGGAGTGAGTACGGGCTCAGGTCGGGGGAGTGAGTACGGGCTCAGGTCGGGGGAGTGAGTACGGGCTCAGGTCGGGGGAGTGAGTACGGGCTCAGGTCTGGGGAGTGAGTACGGGCTCAGGTCGGGGGAGTGAGTACGGGCTCAGGTCTGGGGAGTGAGTACGGGCTCAGGTCGGGGGAGTGAGTACGGGCTCAGGTCGGGGGAGTGAGTACGGGCTCAGGTCGGGGGAGTGAGTACGGGCTCAGGTCTGGGGAGTGAGTACGGGCTCAGGTCGGGGGAGTGAGTACGGGCTCAGGTCTGGGGAGTGAGTACGGGCTCAGGTCGGGGGAGTGAGTACGGGCTCAGGTCGGGGGAGTGAGTACGGGCTCAGGTCGGGGGAGTGAGTACGGGCTCAGGTCGGGGGAGTGAGTACGGGCTCAGGTCGGGGGAGTGAGTACGGGCTCAGGTCGGGGGATTGAGTACGGGCTCAGGTCGGGGGGGAGTGAGTACGGGCTCAGGTCGGGGGAGTGAGTACGGGCTCAGGTCGGGGGAGTGAGTACGGGCTCAGGTCGGGGGATTGAGTACGGGCTCAGGTCGGGGGGGAGTGAGTACGGGCTCAGGTCGGGGGAGTGAGTACGGGCTCAGGTCGGGGGGGAGTGAGTACGGGCTCAGGTCGGGGGAGTGAGTACGGGCTCAGGTCGGGGGAGTGAGTACGGGCTCAGGTCGGGGGAGTGAGTACGGGCTCAGGTCGGGGGAGTGAGTACGGGCTCAGGTCGGGGGAGTGAGTACGGGCTCAGGTCGGGGGAGTGAGTACTGGCTCAGGTCGGGGGAGTGAGTACGGGCTCAGGTCGGGGGAGTGAGTACGGGCTCAGGTCTGGGGAGTGAGTACGGGCTCAGGTCGGGGGAGTGAGTACGGGCTCAGGTCGGGGGAGTGAGTACGGGCTCAGGTCGGGGGAGTGAGTACGGGCTCAGGTCGGGGGAGTGAGTACGGGCTCAGGTCGGGGGAGTGAGTACGGGCTCAGGTCGGGGGAGTGAGTACGGGCTCAGGTCTGGGGAGATTCAGTGTTAGCAGGTGCGATTCACGGATTAACCGCTGAATTTAACCATCATAGAGTGAAAGTTTATCATTTGGATGTTTTGTCTTGCCAATTTACACATTCAAACAATTTTAAGATTCAATCAAAAATATCTTAATTTGTGTTCTGAAGATGAACGAAAGTCTTACGGGGTTGGAACAACATGAGGGAGAGTAATTACTGACAGTTTTCATTTTGGGGTGAACTATCCCTTTAAATTCAGTGTCTTCACGGTTACTTTCCCTGTGCAGCCTACATGCATCTTTCTCTACCGTGAACGAGATTATAATGTTATTCCCCCGATGCCGATGTACAGATCCAATGTTACATTTGAGGTTGATATTTCTCCTGGTTGTTTAGATGTGTAGGCTAGTAGGGTTTCCCTCAATACTTCAGGATCCCCCTGCTGGACATATACAACGCTTAACGAAGCTTAATGGACGAATACAGTGATGTAAAAGACCAAACTCGCAGGCAAGCAGACTCAGAATATGAACTTAACGCGCAACGTTTGAAGCGTTTCCCAGTGATATACTGGCATAAAGTTGTAAATGCAAAATTGGCTTGACGTTGGACATTCGCACATTTAGGGACCGTCTCTAAAGTAAGATACGACATCGGTACGCACGTTTCCATGTGCGTCGGAACCATTGTATATGGGTGGGACAAGACCCACCCACTTTTTAAGACCAATGATATTGGACCCACTCACTTTTACCGTCTCTAATTCAGCGCATATGTCTGTTCACTTTTCAGAGCGCCGTCAGTCAAATCCAGTCCACTTGAGGAATGCCCTAATAAACTAAACTCCATTTCTGCTGAATCATTATATTTCTCAACAAGCCGCAACTGACGAAAATAGCTGCCAGTTTTACCCTTCCAGTCAAATATTGCTCTGCAAACATCAATAACAGCTTTAAGTTGTCAATGCTGGCAATGACAATGGTATCAGCGGGATAATCCACAGATGGCTTTAACGGGCCCGTGTATTCAACGATTTTAATGCATGCGGTGGAGGCAAGAACCGCCCGACGTGAAGCGGAGTTTAATTTACTTGTTTAACTAGAAAGGCACCAAAATACATGAAATGGCACTTACTCCAGAAATATTTTTCTGGAGGAGGACCCACACACTTTTTTTTTGCTTCAGACGGCCATACACGTTTCTAACTTCTGTTGCCCAGTGTTGACCAGTACCTGCTGCTGGGAGGAGCTCTGGGCTCGGTTCGGCTCACGGGACTCTGGGTAACTGGCACTCCTGTACCAGCTCTCTTACCCACGGCAGACGGGGTCGACAAACAGGGAGCTCGTGGTTTGGGTTCTACATCGAGAGAGAAAACACAAAAAAGAATGAATATTTACTCCATTTGCAATTATAGCTGGAAATCATGCAGGTGTAATGCATCTCCATAACTGCTTTGACCTATAAACACACTCTTGCTGGAAAGCGATGCCTTATGGGGATTCGTTTATCGTTTTTAACTGATACTTCAAAGATTGATCAACTCATTCAGACAGTCAAACTTATAACATTTGATCAAATTGATAAATGTTACCAAGCTAGACATTTAAAACTGGCGAATGAACAATATTTAAAACTTCACAGAAATGTTTAAGACATGACAACAATCGCAGCTTTAAGGATCTCCCACTCTGGAGCAAAGCAAAGGAAAAGCAAACTTATACGCGTGTCAGTAGCTTTGTTCCCATCTAACTATTTTTATACGCATTTTGGAATATCACATTAAAAATTTAAATAAACACACACACACGCTGGATGGTAACACCAACAAGTGCATAACATAAAAAAACATGCACTTGTGGCTGATACATTTCGTTTCCAATAAGATATGCACATAAATAAGATGGAAACACATTTACAGAATAAATCCCTCAATAATAAACCAAATCATTCTGATCACATAACTTCAGAACCACCAAACCAACATTTGAGATGCTGCGATGTGATTGGTCCGCTGGTTGAGTGTGTGATCAGAATGATTTGGTTTAATTCCCTCCAGAAGCGTCTCACACACATGAGTGTGTTCCCGAACACCAGCATCCGAACGCAAGAGAACATGACAATGTTTACTGTGTTTCGTCTGATGCTCTGAGACACACTCGTTAAATACGCTCAATTATGACATTTTTAATGCAAATATGACATTGTTTGAGATGTCTTTATGACAACTTGACATTACCAATACATCATAACCTGTCATAAATATGTCATAAACATGACATAGCAGATTATCAAACTTAAAGGTGCAGTGTGTTATTTTTAGCGACATCTAGTGGTTCGGTTGCGAGTTTACACTAAGGCCTCAGCCCACCGCTCACCTCTCCCTTTCGAAGAAGCTACGGTGGCTAAAACGGGACAAACATTGTCGTATTGTCAAATGTATTCTTACGTTTGATCATTAATCTGCTATGTCATGTTTATGACATATTTATGACAGGTTGTGTTGTCTTAGTAATGTAAAGTTGTCATAACCAAGACATCCCAAACAATGTCATATTTGCTTTAAAAATGTCATTAAATGAGCGAATGACACTTAATGACAGTTGTCATAAACATGCATAAACCCTCCTTCATATTCATGACATTATGAAGGTGTCATGTCAGTCTTATGCGCACCCCTTCAAGTAAAGTGTTCCCGAACACCAGCATCCGAAGGCAAGAGAGCATGACAGTGTTTACTGTGTTTCGTCTGACGCTCGGAGACCTGTGATGGACAGCCTGATTGCAGACACTCACATTTTTAAGTGAAACTCAAGGTCGAGGACTAAATCTTTGGGGTGCGGACTGGAGGGTCAGGTCCTAGAGCTCTTCCTGGACGAATTTAGGTGAAAAATATTTTTTATTTTATGAATATTGCATATTTATGCGCCGAGAAAACACCACAGGCACAGTTCAATCAACATGGGAAAATCTCACAGTAAAACTGACTCTTCCATCCAGATAGGGCTTTTCTCCACTTTTATTGTTATTTTTATTGTTGTTTTAATTCCTATGTGTTTCCTTCTATGCACAGAGCTTTGAATTACCATTGTGTATGAAAAACGCTATATAAATAAACTTGCCTTGCCTAATACTGATACTGAGAGCCAATTTCCCGGGAAGTGACAATTTAGTTTTCTTGCACACGAGATGGAAACTGAATATAATTTGTGAAAAGCAAATTCTGTGCAGAAGTTAAATGTGCAAATTTGAATGTAAACAATGACAAACAACAAGCATTAACCCGTTTCCGTTCATACAGCGCATATCAATCGAACCTGCTCTGAAAATGTGGTTGCGAATCCTGAGTTAAGCCCTATTCGGACAGGATTAGCTTCACAAGGGTAGATGGATGTTTTAATGGCCTGTAATATTAATGGCCAATTCACACTGGATAAGAGATTTCAGTAAAACTAGCGGAAGTGGAAGGGCTAACTTGATTTGCGCTCCCTGATAGTGATATCACATGTGCAAACACATATAACCTATATTTATATAAAGCAGCTATGGTCCATCTGAACAATTTATTAATTAACTTCTGATTGGATTGTGTTGGTAATAGGCACTTATCTAACGCTAAAAGAAGTGTCGTTCCTCTAACAAGTGCTTTCGATCTTCTTTCTGCTCTGAATGGTGTGTAAAACACTAGAGTTTTGCCACAGACTCGTCCCAGCGTCTAGAACACAACTGATGCTTCATCAAGCGTTCAATGCTTGAAAAAAACGCCGAAAACTGCTTTTAAACAGGAAATGATGGAATATTTACTAACATTTACAGCGGGTCTATTCGCACGGGATTAGCATTACCCGAGGTCATCTTTCAGACCTTTGTACTGAAGGTAAAAGTCGCTGTAATCTTTACTGTAATCTGGCGTTGTCCGTAATGATGACTGAGATGCACATTCAGACGGGACTAAAATCTCTGAGAAGCTCTGGTGATAATGAATTTACCCCTCCTTTAACATGCTAAACTAGTCCCGTCCGAATAGGGCTGTAAGGTAGTCACTGTCAGTGTTGTGTGTGACTAGTAAAGAAATGCATTACTTGGATATTTTATTGTAAATTTTATGAGTTATTTTTTCAAATAAGTAACGCAAGTTACTTTGTTTTCCCATTTATTGACTGACAGCTCTCCTGTCCCAATGTTGAGACATAAGTGCAGAGGTGTGTGTGTGTGTGTGTGTGTGTGTGTGTGTGTGTGTGTGTGTGTGTGTGTGTGTGTTTAAACATGATGGTTATTGTAGTACTAGACTAAATGTGTGCATGCATTTACTCATTTCACTTGAACAAAAAAAGATTCAATATTCCACAAAATGAATAAAATCAGTAAAATGCAGAATCAGAATACTACGCAAACCTCCAATAACTAAATATGTTAAATAAAACATACATTTATTTTTTCATTTTATCTCACTTTGACCAATGTACATGACTTAGTTAAACCATAAGCAAAAATAACTATAGATTTTGGGGGTTTTATTGGTAAAGTAAGTGTTAAGCTTCTCTCCTGCATCCTATTTTTCTGTTATCCAGAACAGCAGATGTTTTGCCAGACGTAAAACCGTAATTTGTAAAAAAAAATAATAATAATAATAATTGGTGCGCCGCGTTAAAAACTGGCCGACAAATGAGATTAGAGCTTTTGCTCAAGTGCCTGAAGCTGCTGAAGTTACAGTACTTGGCATAGACATTAAATATGATGTCTATGGTACTTAGTGGCGCTCAAGCACGAAATGATCTTGCCAAGCACACATTGATCGAAGACGACGACGAAGAGGAAGATGCAACGAGGCAAGATGAATGTAGAGCTGCTGGTGTCTGGAGTCACAAGAACTTAATGAAAAACACTAGCCAGGATGCCAGCCGAGCTTAGCCCCGCCAACAGCATTAGAGGTCGGGAAGTTCGGTCTGGACTTGATCCGTTGTGAAGCAAGTATTCCCGAACCAAAGCTGTTCGGACCAATCAAATCATCAGGGCGGGCTTTATACGATGATGGACAGTCAATTCATTCATTTCGTTCGTTAAATGAATCAAATGAGTCGAAAAAAGATTCGTTCATTTTGATGAACGAGTTCGAACAGGAGAGTTACACAGAACAGAGCAAGGCGGGCATTTGAGCTTATAAAACTTAAACTTTGTTATTTATTTTTTAAATGAGCGATCGTTTCGCTTGATAAGACCCTTATTCATCGTCTGGTGTCGTTTAAAGCCCTTTGAACAGTTTGCAGTTTGCAGTGAAACTGTCTTTTGGACCTTGGACCGTTTGGTGCCCAGCAAAGTGCATTATATGGAGAAAAATCCTGGAATGTTTTCATCAAAAACCTTCATTTCTTTTCGACTGAAGAAAGAAAGACATGGACATCTTGGATGACATGGGGGTGAGTAAATTATCAGCAAAAGTTTTTTTAAAAGTGAACTAATCCTTTAACCATTTCATTTGAGAAAAACTATTGTCATATACTCGCACAAAAACTCAAAGGTCTTGACGGCAACCCGTCAAAATAAAGGTTTGGTTTAACTTAAAGAAATTGACAGAAATAATTGTATAGGCTACTGTACAATAGATTTAACTACGTCTCCATTAATTAAAAATACTACTACTAATAAATAATAATAATGTGTGCATAGAAGGTTGCTTATTTTTCACTTGATTTTTTTATAAGCAATATTTCTCAATATCATCAATATTTTCATTTAAACAGCATGTAGCCTTCAATGCTTTCATAAATGTACCGTCATAAATAATAAAGTCATTGAATTGAATTGAATATTTTTTTTCTTCAAATAATTAAATAAATTGGAAAAATAGTTCAAACTGATTTTGCTGTGGTACCGAAATTGGTACCGAGAACCGTAAAATTTTAATGGTATCGGTACCGACCACTGAAATTTTGGTACCGTGACATCCCTAAGACAGCGCATTCATTTTAAAAGAGAAACAGAGAACCACGATCAAGGCATTTGTCGATCCAATCGAGTGCAGGGGCATTTTCTTTTCCTGGTTGGGTTGAAACGCCCCATAATCACAGCCCAATGGAGCCGTATCAGACTGACTAGAGTCTGAGTATGACGACGTCAGGCTAGAAAAACGCCACAGCGACTACAGCAACCTCGATTAGGGGGAGTTATGGACAGGAATTGCAGAGCAAATAGGATTCAGAGAGTGAAGCATCACTCGGCGCATCGCCAGTGAAAATCGCTTGGGTATGAACACACAGCAGTGTTGTTTTTGGCAGCCCTTTTAGTTTTAGTCTTAGTCTTTTGGACGAAAATGCTTTTTAGTTTTAGTCACATTTTAGTCACTTAAAAACTTAATAGTTTTAGTCAAGTTTTGGTCGACGAAAACAAAAAAAAGGTTTTAGTCAAGTTTTAGTCAATTTTAGTCAAAAAAAAAAAAAAAAAAAAAGTCTTTAAAAAATAGAGAAAATAAAATGCGGCTGTGTCAAAATTGGTATCAAGTTCAAAAATAGAAAAGAAATAAAAGTGCCACTTTGCAATCTGTTAAAAAAAAGAAAAGAATAGAAATCCATTTGGCAAGACAGGTCTATTTATCCCTGCATTAGTGGCTGCAATAAGCCTGTTTTGAATTGCACAACTTCTCAAAAGTCATGCTCAATGTTCAGCTGAGATGTGTAGTTTGTTTTCAGTGAAGCTGAAACAGCTGAAAAGCCCATCTCACAGAGATATGATGTGGCAAAGGGAAGAAGAATGCACACAGCTCTCTGCCTTTCGCCTACTTAAAAACGTGATATATATATTTTTTTAAATAGATAAAATAGACATAACATACTGTGTTTGATATGGGATTAAAATGATGGGTAGTGTATGGGCAGTGTATAAGATATAAACTAATGATTCATTACTTTAATATTCCTTTGTTCCGATCAGAGCATGTGAGCGGAGAGCGCATTTCTGAATATCCATCGGCTCGCTCATTCAGCTCAGGCTCGCGCGCTCAACACAGAATGGCCTGCTGGTTCGAGATATGTGGAATAAGAGCTGCCTCCGACTAAAGTTTTTATTCTAGTCGATTAGTAGTTGTTCATTTAAGCCATAGTGGACAAATCGCCCCTTTATATTAATTTAATTACTTAAATAGGCTATACGGGATATTGAGCGTTATAGCCGCACTCGAGCGCACGACCGCACGCATAAAGCTTGCCACAAAGAACGATTATGATTATGAATGTGTAAAAAAAATAGCAAGGAGACATTTAATTGTTTATTAATAAACTGGTGTTTTCGGTGTCGCTGCAAAGATGAATTTGACGATGCGGACTCGGCATGAACGAATAAAGATAAAAAGGCATAAAACGGAAAATTTCCTCCCGTTAGCAGGAGACCTGTCACGGCAGAGGGGCGCGCCCCACACCTTGAGAACCACTGGATTATACTGAAACTGAAAGTATGTCCATAAATCATATCTCGTCGTTTCCGACCACCAAGCCCGTTATTGGCTTCGCCGCCATGGTCCTTTGAAGATGTGTGGTGAGTGACTAGCCGCAGCCGCGGGTGTGTTGTTGTGTGGAATCTGGTGCGCGCGCGGCATGGGTACCCAAAACAATGATAGGAATTTTTTAGCTCAAAACAGACAGATCTCACGCAAAATAGGCAGAAATGACATGCATTGCGAACGTCAGACTTATAGTCATTTTCGTTCCGTCTTGTCAACGAAAACTCGAAAACGTCTCGTCATGTTTTAGTCACCTTAGGGCCATTTTTAGCTAGTCATCGTCGCGTTATCGTCATAAAAAAAGTGCGTCAATGAAATCATTTCGTTATCGTCATCGTTGACGAAAACAACATTGACACACAGAGGCAATAATCGTCCCGGTGTGCGCGGGCCTTAACGCATTGCAGTTGCTTTTAAAGGGAGTAACGCAATATTGTAATGCATAACTTTTCAAAGTAACTTTCCCCAACACTGGTCACTGTTGTGTGTCCCTCATTCATAAGTGAACTGTGTGAAGCACATTGAGCAGACTGTGCTGGTGTGAGTGTGAGCTGTACCTGCAGGCGTCCTCGGGCTGGCTTGGGCTCGGCCTGCGAGACTCTGGTTCTGCCGGACCCGGTCCAGTAACGACTGGAACTCCTCCTCGGAGCTGCCGCTGTCGTCTCCAGCGCTGGGAGTCACCGGGACATGAGGCTTGTCCTCTCGGGGGTGTCGGGTCCTCCAGGTGCTCCGGATCACAGCGCTACGGTCCTCATCGCTGTCGCTCAGGAACACTGGATCATCGCAGCGGGGCGGGGGGCGTTTCTCGCTCTTCTGGACGGGTTTAGGAGTTCTAGCACTGGCTTTCCCTGTACAACAACAACAAAAACGACCCAAAACTTGATATAGTGGCTATTTTATATTAAAGGAACAGTGGTGTGTGATCCATGAATGAATAATTCAGAACGGTTCAGAACCGGATTCATTAAAATGATCAGACTCAAATAAGCATTCGTTTAATAATATGATGGCTAGACATCAGAACCAAATCAAGTCTCACACTTTGGAAGCAGAAGTCCCCCCTGTGGTGTAAATCCAGCTTTTAATGTTGTTTATGTGTCTATGTGGTGTTTTTAATATGCTTTAAGACACACCATGTGTAAGTTCATAAGTCGACAGCATTGCTGAGTATTTTCTGCTTAAAACTGCAGTGAACCAAAGACAGTCTCAAAAACACGGTTTGAAATCGCTGGTGTTTCTGACGTCACAAACGACCTTGTAACCAATCAGATCAACGTGTGATCGTCAACCAGTGGATCTCTGAGCTGAGTGAGTGAGTGGAGGCGGGGCTCATTTGCATATTCATAGAACCGCGCATACTAAATGAGGCAAGGGTGTCGAGTTACATTCAAGATATTTTAAGGCATGAAGAATTTTTATTCAAGGAAAAACTGTTTAAATGTCATTTTGGTGATCAAAGATGAGTTTTAAGTTGGGATACACTGAAATTAAAAATTTTGGGCCGAAAACCGAAACCAAAAATGAATTAATTTTTTTTTATTAATTTCTCATTTTAAATTAGTTTTTTGTATAATTGCATTATTATTAGACTTTTTAATTAAATTCAATAATTTTACTGAATCTGAATATTTTTTTTTTTAAAACAAGCAAATAAAATAACCACACTTTTGTTTAAAGTAACAAAAATTGGACCGAAAATAGGCCTATATTTATAAAAAAAATGTAAACAAAAAAAACAATATTTTCATATCTTTATATCAATATATTATTCTTCATTCAGTTCTATGCAACAGAATCAGATTTACCAGATTTATTTTTTGATCAATATTCAAAATAATGTATAGTCCTACAAAGCTATTATTATCAGAGTTTGAAGTTGTGCATCTTCGCTCGCAAAACATGCTGAGCCAGAGTGAAACCCGATCGCTGAACACGGACGGGCATATGTTCGGGCTATATTTTCGACCAATAACCGAAAATGCCATTTTTACAATAGATCATTTTCAGCGACAGAAATTTCGGTGCATCTCTACTCTTAAGGGATCCAATTATTGACTACAGGGGGACTTTAATTATGAGAGAGAAATGATGAGCAGTTTGTGCATTTTAAAGTTGGCAAGAAACAGAAATGTATCTTTTCTTCCCCATTGTGACGTATATATCCAAGCGAGACGCTTCTGGAGCAAATGTAGGAAACGAGAAGATGTCGCTGATGGAGGGAGGGGAAGTTATTCTGATTCAACATTACAGGAACATGAGTTTAACACAATAATGATAATTAAATACTGCAAAAAATCCATTAAAAAAGAAGATCGTCAGTTTTGATTTCATGGTGACTTTAAAGAAACATACCTTTATTAACGGAAGGCTTCCTCTCAGAGACAAAATCCTCATCGGATGAAATGCTGTCCACTATGAAGCGTTTCAAACTGAGGGGTGAAATAATAACGTATGATTGACAGTCGTGATGAATGATGATGATGATAAACTGAAGAACTGGTGTCCATCTAACAGTGCAACACTGACCGGTCATCACTGCTGCTCACCGACTGAGACCGGACTTTAGTCTGAGGGGTTTTCACTCGATTTAAAACTGGACAGAAAAATGTAAAAGGTAAAAATTATGTGTGACATCTTATTTGATTTGAAAGCGGTTGATAAAGAACTTACATATTTCAAAGTCATCATCACTATCTGAAGACAAAACTGGAATGGGTTCTCTAGAAGAGGAAAATGGTGATTTAGTTAATGTACAGTATAGCCACAGCATGGGCTGCACCGGATCCAGATTATTGGGGTTCGGCCGATCACCGAATCCACTGGTTAAGATTCTGCCGAATCCGAAACCCAATCCCGAATCCTACTCGCATCCTCAGTCCATTAACACATTACACACACTAATGAAGTAAACAACATCCACAACAGTGTATTCATTTTTTTATTTTTTTTGTTAACTGTTAAAAAAACAAAGAATAGGCAACATTATGCCAGGATGACAAGTGGGAAAACCTATTCTGACAATTACCATAGGCCTATGTTTACTGTAGGCCTCAAGATCCAATCAATATCCACAATATTAGCCTTTTAGATTCATAATCCCATAAAGTAGGTGCTACCCCCAAGTACAGACCAAAACCTTTCAATAAAAGTGCAACGATGCAAAGAAAAGTGTTTTTCTTTTTTTTAAATCAGAATATGTTTGGTGACTTAACTGAAAATAATGTTATTGAACGTTTACTCAATAAACATTTGAGGCTGTTGTTTCGTTTAGAACAGTAGCCGGAATATTACGAAAAAGTCTAGGCCTAATCACACACATCTCCTGCATCATAATTAACCTTTAACCTTTCAGGAAAACAAGACACTCGGCACTGCAAATTGAACATATGGCTCGACCTGAATCGCCTTCTTTTGACTAAAAGTACTGCCAAACAATATTAGTTGAATATTAAAGGTCCCCTGACATGGGGTTATTTTATTATTTTATAATGTTTCCTGGGTTGCCCTTATAATGTTAGTATGTTTTTTTAAGATCAAAAATAGTCATAATTTAGAAATAAAAGGCATTTTTTCTAGCCTGAGTTTAGCCTTTGATTTGAACGCTCTGTTTGAAGGGGCGTGTCTGCTGTGGGATTCAGTGTAACCGCCCACTGCTGTGATTGGCTGTGGGATTCAGTGTAACCGCGGCCACTGCTGTGATTGGCTGAGGGATTCAGTGTAACCGCCCACTGCTGTGATTGGCTGTGGGATTCAGTGTAACCACCCACTGCTGTGATTGGCTGTGGGATTCAGTGTAACCGCCCACTGCTGTGATTGGCTGTGGGATTCAGTGTAACCGCCCACTGCTGTGATTGGCTGTGGGATTCAGTGTAACCGCCCACTGCTGTGATTGGCTGTGGGATTCAGTGTAACCGCCCACTGCTGTGATTGGCTGTGGGATTCAGTGTAACCGCGGCCACTGCTGTGATTGGCTGTGGGATTCAGTGTAACCGCCCACTGCTGTGATTGGCTGTGGGATTCAGTGTAACCGCCCACTGCTGTGATTGGCTGTGGGATTCAGTGTAACCGCCCACTGCTGTGATTGGCTGTGGGATTCAGTGTAACCGCCCACTGCTGTGATTGGCTGTGGGATTCAGTGTAACCGCCCACTGCTGTGATTGGCTGTGGGATTCAGTGTAACCGCGGCCACTGCTGTGATTGGCTGTGGGATTCAGTGTAACCGCCCACTGCTGTGATTGGCTGTGGGATTCAGTGTAACCGCCCACTGCTGTGATTGGCTGACATGCTTGCATATGAAATAGCTAACATGTGAAACTCTCTCGAATACTTTAACTACAGCTATTATACGTTTTTACTATTGCAGCTATCGAGATTAACGAATCGTGAGATGTTTTTAAAGTATTTAGATCTATTCCCATCACATAAATGTTGCCGTGATGAGCATTGAGTAGATGACAGTCGATCGAGAGAATAACTTTGCAAAGCAGTTTCTGCTCTCTCTCTCTGCTTTCCCCAATGCTAACACGATGATGTAAATACAGTAAGAGCTTCGTTGTGCAGTGTAACGTGCGTCATTGATTTCATAACGAGTTGTCCAGATAAACTCGCGCTGTGTGGAAATATTGTTCTTTGATCGCTTTCTGTAGAATTTGTTCACAATTTAAATAAGATTATTTTTATCCTACTAAAAGAAACGATGTGAAGTTGATATTTTAGTTACTGGCTTGACTGATGCATAAACCGTATTGAACGATTTTGAGAGAAAGATTCCCTGTCTGAACTTGAACAATTAGGCTACACATCAGAAAGTGTTGCTTGGTAGCTCGATCGATTTATCATCAGACGTTCATCGAGGCCAGCTCTGTATTGGCCCAAGTTGAGGAAACAGTCGTTGGTGAAATGTTTGGACCATACACAACTTTGGGAAGTTGTGTCGGCGCATTTCCGGAGAAAATAAAATTAACCCACTGTTTCTTCAGAGGCTCGGATGAAGGAACTAAAAATACTTTTGTGTTCATTTGTACATCCGAACACTGATCAACTGCCATGCTTCGCTCATTTGCAAGCCATGATATCTCTCGAGGAAAGAATCAAATCGCGCCGGCGCGTTCGTACTTCCTGGGTATAGCTCACTTTCTCATGCGCGAGCCAAATTCTCCGGGTGGGCAAAGCAGAGAAAGGGGAGGTAACCTTTCCTCTGTATGACGTAAGGAGGAGATTCAAGATCAGCGCGTCTGAGCTGCAGAGAAGAGAAAGATAGCCAAAGCTCGGTTTACACCGATTGAAATTTCTAGCCACTGGGGGACCAAATACAGGCTAGGGGAACTCATATTAATGTTAAAAAACCACAGAAAGTGAAAATTTCATGTCAGGGGACCTTTAAATAAAATAAGGAATGGAATTCGAATAGTATTATAGAGGAAGATTGACAGCCCTTATCAGTGTGTTGTGATTGGTCGAGCGCTTCGAGTGTGTTTGGGGAATGTCCCGCCCCTTTCCATAACCGCCAGTTTAACACACTACTAATGAACTCAACCAGGCCCCGCCCCTTTATTCTGCATATTAATTATTATAATGAGGAATATTGTGACGTGTTCGTTCCCGGAAGAAACTCGAGACTACGAGAAACACATTCTCACCTTGGCTTCTGGGCAGCTGATGCAGATTGTTTTAATGTGGATTTTGGTGTAGCCTTTGCAGCAAGAACTGGAGAAATAAAAATCAAACACAAAATTCATTCATTCGCATACCATAAGAATCCATGCAAGCAAATCAAGTGTTCAACCGAAACCAAACCGAAATATGGCTGCATCTGAAGTCATGTACTTCCCTACTATATAGTATGTTTTGTTTGAATTCACAGTATTCACGAGTAGGAAAAGTCCTCGGATGACCGACTTCTTCTGGTGGGATTCGGAACTGTGCATCTGATGGACACTATCCCATGATGCCACGGGGCAGGAGTTATTAATGACAGTGAAGCGACACAATTAATGCTGGTAGATCACATGATAATGACAACATGGTGAATGTATTGTGTCCAGATTACATTCATACTATATATAAAACATACTTGATAATAATAATAAACATTTCATGAGCAGCAAATCATCATATTAGAGTGATTTCTGAAGGATCATGTGACACTGAAGACTGGAGTAATGATGCTGAACATTCAGCTTTGATCACAGGAATAAATTACACTTTACTATATATTCACATAGAAAACCGCTATTTTAAATTGTCATAATATTTAACAAAATTACTGTGTTTTGTTTGTATTTTCAATCAAATAAATGCAGCCTTGGTGAGCAGAAGAGACTTCTTTTAAAAACATTAAAAATCTTCCTGATCCCAAACTCTTGAACGGCGGTGTATACAGTAGTGAAGTGTGTGATTTGGGACCAGCCTTACACTGATCAAAGTCATCATCATCTGAAGTCAGGTGTTCCTCCGGAGTGTGATTCTCCTTGCCCGAGCCGTCGGTGTTAAAGCTGCCCAGCGCTGGACGCCGGCTCTTCCTCAAGCTCTTCCTCAGCTGCGAGAGAAGGACAGGCTGTGGTGAAACGGGATCATGGGACGGGTTGTTTTGTAAAAGACGTACATGTTGATTATAAGCACTAACCTTCTCTTCAGCTTCATCAAGACCCCCGTTTCGGTCCCACCCCAGCTTCTCTGAGACTCTCTGAAACAGAGACACGGTCCCGGGATCCATCGCCACCGGAAGACTGCGGATCGGCACCTGAACACAACACTCTCCTGTGGTCACGTGACAAATCATAACTGTGCTGAGCACGACACTCTCCTGTGGTCACGTGACAAACCAAAACTGTGCTGAACACGACACTCTCCTGTGGTCACGTGACAAACCAAAACTGTGCTGAACACGACACTCTCCTGTGGTCACGTGACAAACCAAAACTGTGCTGAACACGACACTCTCCTGTGGTCACGTGACAAACCAAAACTGTGCTGAACACGACACTCTCCTGCGGTCACGTGACAAACCAAAACTGTGCTGAACACGACACTCTCCTGTGGTCACGTGACAAATCAAAACTGAGCTGAACACGACTCTCTCCTGTGGTCACGTGACAAATCATAACTGTGCTGAACACAACACTCTCCTGTGGTCACGTGACAAATCAAAACTGTGCTGAACACAACACTCTCCTGTGGTCACGTGACAAATCATAACTGTGCTGAACACGACACTCTCCTGCGGTCACGTGACAAACCAAAACTGTGCTGAACACGACACTCTCCTGTGGTCACGTGACAAATCAAAACTGAGCTGAACACGACTCTCTCCTGTGGTCACGTGACAAATCATAACTGTGCTGAACACAACACTCTCCTGTGGTCACGTGACAAATCAAAACTGTGCTGAACACGACACTCTCCTGTGATCACGTGACAAATCATAACTGTGCTGAACACAACACTCTCCTGTGGTCACGTGACAAATCAAAACTGTGCTGAACACGTCACTCTCCTGTGGTCACGTGACAAATCAAAACTGTGCTGAACACGACACTCCCCTGCGGTCACGTGACAAATCAAAACTGTGCTGAACACGTCACTCTCCTGTGGTCACGTGACAAACCAAAACTGAGCTGAACACAACACTCTCCTGCGGTCACGTGACAAATCATAACTGTGCTGAACACGACACTCTCCTGTGGTCACGTGACAAACCAAAACTGAGCTGAACACAACACTCTCCTGCGGTCACGTGACAAATCATAACTGTGCTGAACACGACACTCTCCTGTGGTCACGTGACAAACCAAAACTGAGCTGAACACAACACTCTCCTGCGGTCACGTGACAAATCATAACTGTGCTGAACACGACACTCTCCTGCGGTCACGTGACAAATCATAACTGTGCTGAACACGACTCTCTCCTGCGGTCACGTGACAAATCATAACTGTGCTGAACACGACACTCTCCTGCGGTCACGTGACAAATCAAAACTGAGCTGAACACGACTCTCTCCTGTGGTCACGTGACAAATCAAAACTGTGCTGAACACGACACTCTCCTGTGGTCACGTGACAAACCAAAACTGAGCTGAACACAACACTCTCCTGCGGTCACGTGACAAACCAAAACTGAGCTGAACACAACACTCTCCTGTGGTCACGTGACAAATCATAACTGTGCTGAACACGACTCTCTCCTGCGGTCACGTGACAAATCATAACTGTGCTGAACACGACACTCTCCTGCGGTCACGTGACAAATCAAAACTGAGCTGAACACGACTCTCTCCTGTGGTCACGTGACAAATCAAAACTGTGCTGAACACGACACTCTCCTGTGGTCACGTGACAAATCATAACTGTGCTGAACACGACTCTCTCCTGCGGTCACGTGACAAATCATAACTGTGCTGAACACGACACTCTCCTGCGGTCACGTGACAAATCAAAACTGAGCTGAACACGACTCTCTCCTGTGGTCACGTGACAAATCAAAACTGTGCTGAACACGACACTCTCCTGTGGTCACGTGACAAACCAAAACTGTGCTGAACACGACACTCTCCTGTGGTCACGTGACAAATCATAACTGTGCTGAACACAACACTCTCCTGTGGTCACGTGACAAATCAAAACTGTGCTGAACACGACACTCCCCTGCGGTCACGTGACAAATCAAAACTGTGCTGAACACGACACTCTCCTGTGGTCACGTGACAAACCAAAACTGTGCTGAACACGACACTCTCCTGTGGTCACGTGACAAACCAAAACTGTGCTGAACACGTCACTCTCCTGCGGTCACGTGACAAATCAAAACTGTGCTGAACACGACACTCTCCTGTGGTCACGTGACAAACCAAAACTGAGCTGAACACAACACTCTCCTGCGGTCACGTGACAAATCAAAACTGTGCTGAACACAACACTCTCCTGTGGTCACGTGACAAACCAAAACTGTGCTGAACACAACACTCTCCTGTGGTCACGTGACAAACCAAAACTGTGCTGAACACGACACTCTCCTGTGGTCACGTGACAAACCAAAACTGTGCTGAACACGACACTCTCCTGTGATCACGTGACAAACCAAAACTGTGCTGAACACGACTCTCTCCTGTGGTCACGTGACAAATCAAAACTGTGCTGAACACGACACTCTCCTGTGGTCACGTGACAAACCAAAACTGTGCTGAACACGACTCTCTCCTGTGGTCACGTGACAAATCAAAACTGTGCTGAACACGACACTCTCCTGCGGTCACGTGACAAACCAAAACTGTGCTGAACACGACACTCTCCTGTGGTCACGTGACAAATCATAACTGTGCTGAACACGACTCTCTCCTGTGGTCACGTGACAAATCAAAACTGTGCTGAACACAACACTCTCCTGTGGTCTCGTGACAAATCAAAACTGAGCTGAACACGACACTCCCCTGCGGTCACGTGACAAATCAAAACTGTGCTGAACACAACACTCCTGTGGTCACGTGACAAATCAAAACTGAGCTGAACACGACACTCCCCTGCGGTCACGTGACAAATCAAAACTGAGCTGAACACGACACTCCCCTGCGGTCACGTGACAAATCAAAACTGTGCTGAACACGACACTCTCCTGTGGTCACGTGACAAACCAAAACTGAGCTGAACACGACACTCTCCTGTGGTCACGTGACAAATCAAAACTGAGCTGAACACGACACTCCCCTTCGGTCACGTGACAAATCAAAACTGAGCTGAACACGACACTCCCCTGCGGTCACGTGACAAATCAAAACTGTGCTGAACACGACACTCTCCTGTGGTCACGTGACAAACCAAAACGGTGCTGAACACGACACTCTCCTGCGGTCACGTGACAAACCAAAACTGTGCTGAACACGACACTCTCCTGCGGTCACGTGACAAATCAAAACTGTGCTGAACACGACACTCTCCTGTGGTCACGTGACAAACCAAAACTGTGCTGAACACGACACTCTCCTGTGATCACGTGACAAACCAAAACTGTGCTGAACACGACACTCTCCTGTGGTCACGTGACAAATCAAAACTGTGCTGAACACGACACTCTCCTGTGGTCACGTGACAAATCAAAACTGTGCTGAACACGACACTCTCCTGTGGTCACGTGACAAACCAAAACGGTGCTGAACACGACACTCTCCTGCGGTCACGTGACAAACCAAAACTGTGCTGAACACGACACTCTCCTGCGGTCACGTGACAAATCAAAACTGTGCTGAACACGACACTCTCCTGTGGTCACGTGACAAACCAAAACTGTGCTGAACACGACACTCTCCTGTGGTCACGTGACAAACCAAAACTGTGCTGAACACGACACTCTCCTGCGGTCACGTGACAAACTAAAACTGTGCTGAACACGACACTCTCCTGCGGTCACGTGACAAATCAAAACTGTGCTGAACACGACACTCTCCTGCGGTCACGTGACAAATCAAAACTGTGCTGAACACGACACTCTCCTGTGGTCACGTGACAAACCAAAACTGTGCTGAACACGACACTCTCCTGTGGTCACGTGACAAATCAAAACTGTGCTGAACACGACACTCTCCTTTGGTCACGTGACAAACCAAAACTGTGCTGAACACAACACTCTCCTGTGGTCACGTGACAAACCAAAACTGTGCTGAACACGTCACTCTCCTGTGGTCACGTGACAAACCAAAACTGTGCTGAACACGACACTCTCCTGTGGTCACGTGACAAACCAAAACTGTGCTGAACACGTCACTCTCCTGTGGTCACGTGACAAACCAAAACTGTGCTGAACACGTCACTCTCCTGTGGTCACGTGACAAACCAAAACTGTGCTGAACACAACACTCTCCTGTGGTCACGTGACAAACCAAAACTGTGCTGAACACAACACTCTCCTGCGGTCACGTGACAAACCAAAACTGTGCTGAACACGACACTCTCCTGCGGTCACGTGACAAATCAAAACTGTGCTGAACACGACACTCTCCTGTGGTCACGTGACAAACCAAAACTGTGCTGAACACGACACTCTCCTGTGGTCACGTGACAAATCAAAACTGTGCTGAACACGACACTCTCCTGTGGTCACGTGACAAACCAAAACTGCTGAACACAACACTCTCCTGCGGTCACGTGACAAACCAAAACTGTGCTGAACACGACACTCTCCTGTGGTCACGTGACAAATCAAAACTGTGCTGAACACGACTCTCTCCTGTGGTCACATGACAAACCAAAACTGTGCTGAACACAACACTCTCCTGCGGTCACGTGACAAATCAAAACTGTGCTGAACACAACACTCTCCTGTGGTCACATGACAAACCAAAACTGTGCTGAACACAACACTCTCCTGTGGTCACGTGACAAATCAAAACTGTGCTGAACACAACACTCTCCTGTGGTCACATGACAAACCAAAACTGTGCTGAACACAACACTCTCCTGTGGTCACGTGACAAATCAAAACTGTGCTGAACACGACACTCTCCTGTGGTCACGTGACAAATCAAAACTGTGCTGAACACAACACTCTCCTGCGGTCACGTGACAAATCAAAACTGTGCTGAACACGACACTCTCCTGTGGTCACGTGACAAATCCAAACTGTGCTGAACACAACACTCTCCTGTGGTCACGTGACAAACCAAAACTGTGCTGAACACAACACTCTCCTGTGGTCACGTGACAAACCAAAACTGTGCTGAACACGACTCTCTCCTGTG